CGGGTCCCTGTGGCGGGACTTGGTGCTGGGATAACACCCAGAGCATCATAGCTGCAGCTCTGGGGTGGAAATTGGCCATTCCAGCACTTTCCTACAAGGATGTGGGTCCAAACCCTGCTCCACAAGGACCCCATGGTGGGAGGATGCTGATGGACCCCACTCTTGTGCAATTATCTCTGCATCCGCCAGGTTTGTCTTCCTCCTGGACCACGGCCTCAACCTCTTCGTGTGGCGCGGGGCCCAGGCCACGCTGAGCAGCACCACCAAGGCCAGGTAGGGCTGGTTATGGGGCTGGGGGTACAGGAACCCCCCCACTTCCCATCTCACCCGTTCCCCCCACAGGCTCTTTGCTGAGAAGATCAACAAGAACGAGCGGAAGGGCAAGGCGGAGATCACGCTGCTCACACAGGGCCAGGAGACCCCCGACTTCTGGGAAGCACTTGGGGGGCAGCCCGAGGAGATCCGGCCCTGTGTCCCTGATGACTTCCAGCCCCATAAGCCCAAGCTGTACAAAGTGAGGAGCTGCTGTCCGTGGGGCTGTTGGTGTCCCCAGGACCCTGCAGCACTCCTCACCCATGTCCCTGTCCCTTCTCCATAGGTTGGCCTGGGTCTGGGCTACCTGGAGCTGCCCCAGATCAACTACAAGCTCTCAGTGGAGCACAAGAAGAGGCTGAAGGCTGATCTGATGCCGGAGATGCGCCTGGTAGGATGGGTTCTCCCAGTCTGACCAGTGGGACTGGTTTCATGCCCCCTCTGCCTCCAGCAGTGCCCGGGGAGAGGCAGGTTCAGCCAGCAGCGCCCGCGTGGGGATGCTCTGCTCTTCCTGCCTGGGTCTGTGGGATCAAGCAGGGTGTTCTCCAAGCAGGGAGTCCCATGGAGGCCTCACCCCCCCCTTTATTCCCTGCGGTGCCCTCAGCTCCAGAGCCTGCTGGACACCAAGAGCGTGTACATCCTGGACTGCTGGTCCGACGTCTTCATCTGGATCGGGAGGAAGTCCCCACGCTTGGTGCGGGCGGCAGCGCTGAAGCTGAGCCAGGAGCTGTGCGGGATGCTGCACCGGCCCAAGCACGCCATGGTCACCAGGAACCTGGAGGGCACCGAGTGCCAGGTAGGGCAGCAGTCATTGGAGTGGGGTGCTGGGTACCAGAAGGGCGCTGTGGGTGCGTTACCTCCCCCGTGTAGGTGTTCAAGTCCAAGTTCAAGAACTGGGATGACGTCCTGCGCGTGGATTACACCCGCAACGCTGAATCGGTGCTGCAGGAGGGCGGGCTCGCCGGGAAGGTCCGTAAGGATGCTGAGAAGAAGGATCAGATGAAGGCAGACCTCACGGCGCTCTTCCTGCCCCGACAGCCACCCATGCCCCTGAGCGAGGTAGGGCTGGGGTCCACCCCCTGCATCCCCCCGTTGTGCTGGGTTGATGGAGGGACTGATGGAGCCCATGGGGCCATAGGCAGAGCAGCTGATGGAGGAGTGGAACGAGGACCTGGATGGAATGGAGGGCTTCGTGCTGGAGGGCAAGAAATTCGCTCGCCTGCCCGAGGAGGAGTTTGGCCACTTCCATACCCACGACTGCTACGTCTTCCTCTGCAGGTGACGCCCGGCTTGTCCCCTCTGTGGGGCTGCTGGACCCACATCTCCCTGCCCAGACCCCAACCTGCCCCATCGCTCACATCACCGCCTATTGCTGCCCTCAGGTACTGGGTACCGGTGGAGTACGAGGAGGAGGAGAAGAAGAAGAAGGGAGAAGGCAAAGGGGAGGAAGACGGGGAGGAGGAAGAGGAGGAGAGGCAGCCTGAGGAAGACTTCCAGTGCATCGTGTACTTCTGGCAGGGCCGGGAGGCCTCCAACATGGGCTGGCTCACCTTCACCTTCAGCCTGCAGAAGAAGTTCGAGAGCCTCTTCCCCGGCAAACTGGAGGTGATGCTGCTGGGGACAGAGGGATGCAGCTGGGGTTCGGGGCTGTGGTTTGGGGGTGCCCATGTCCCTGCTGACACCCGCCCCTTGTGCAGGTCGTGCGCATGACCCAGCAGCAGGAGAACCCCAAGTTCCTGTCGCACTTCAAGAGGAGGTTCCTCATCCACCGGGGCAAGAGGAAGGACAGGGCCAGCCCACCCCAGCCCAGCCTCTACCACATCCGCACCAACGGCGGGGCCCTCTGCACCAGGTCAGCCCTGCTGGGGGATGGAGCACCCATGGGTGCTGATGGGCACAACGGCCTCACCTCTCGCTCACTGCATCCCATGGGCTCCTTTTCCAGGTGCATCCAGATCAACACGGACGCCGGGCTGCTCAACTCAGAGTTCTGCTTCATCCTCAAGGTACTGCCCATGGAGGAGCATCCTCGGGGATGCTCGGCTGCTTGCCCTCCTCCCTGTGTGGGTATCCCTGACTCTGTGTTCCCTCAGGTGCCCTTTGAGAGCACAGACAACCAGGGCATCGTCTACACCTGGGTGGGGAGGGCAGCTGACCCCGACGAGGCCAAGTTGGCCGAGGACATCATGAACCACATGTTTGATGACTCCTACAGCAAGCAGGTGAGCGGTGGGAGTAAAGGGGGCTTGGGACCAGCTTCCCTGGGTGGCAACAGCCACTGGGGCAGGGGACGGCGATGCTCAGCCCTGTCCCTGTCCTTGCAGGTGATCAATGAGGGAGAAGAGCCTGAGAACTTCTTCTGGGTGGGCATTGGGAGCCAGAAGCCTTATGATGAAGATGCTGAATATATGAAGCACTCCCGGCTCTTCAGGTGGGTGCTGGTGCAGGAGGGGCTGCCAAAGTAGCCAGGGCCTGGCTCCTGTGACAAGGAAACCCCTCTCTGAGCTTTGTCCATCCTCCAGCTGAATCAGAGCCGCTCCATCACATCCCTTCCTTGTGCCTGAGCCGAGTCCTTCCAAACTCCCCCCGTTGATGCGGTCCCATCGGGCTCTTCCCGCAGGTGCTCCAACGAGAAGGGGTATTTCTCCGTGTCAGAGAAGTGCTCAGATTTCTGCCAGGATGACCTTGCTGACGATGATATCATGCTGCTGGACAACGGGCGCGAGGTGATGCGGGGCTCTTCAGGGCTGGGGTTGCCGCTGCCTCCAGCGGCTGATCCCGGCTCCACGTCCTCGTCACAGGGGCTGCAGGAAACCTGGAGAGGGGCTTGGGACAAGGGCCTGTAGGGACAGGCCAAGGGGAATGGCTTGAACCTGCCAGAGGAGGGGGATTGAGATGAGCTCTTAGGCAGAAGCCCTTCCGTGTGGATGGGGCTTGGAGCAATGTCCCTGCTTGGAGCTGGAGGAGCTTTCAAGTCTCTTCCAACCCAAACCATTCCATGCTTCCTCTCCCATAGGTTTACATGTGGGTGGGCACCCAGACCAGCCAGGTGGAGATCAAGCTGAGCCTCAAGGCGTGCCAGGTAAGGCATGCTCCTGTTGGGATTGGGGGGGGGAGCATTTGGGCATCTCCATCCCATGGGGCCCTGGTCCAGCCCCGGAGGTGGGTGAGAGACCCCTATGGCTGTGCTGTGCCCCAGGTCTACATCCAGCACATGCGCTCCAAGGACCCCGCGCATCCCCGCAAGCTCCGGCTGGTGCGGAAGGGCAACGAGCCCTGGCCCTTCACCCGCTGCTTCCATGCCTGGAGCGTCTTCCGCAAGCCCCCTGCCTAAGGACCACTTCTCTCCAGTATCCCCCCCGTTCTCCCAGCACTGGGCCCAGCTCAGCCCCTTCCTGAGGGCCGGATGGGGCAGTGGGGTCCATGTGGATCAGTGCCGAGTGGTACCCAGGGTTGGGTGGGAGGATGCTTTGCTTTAGCCCTGGGTGGTGGGGAGGGGGGTGTTCACTGGCACAGCCCTTTGGTGTCACATCAATAAATGCTGCACTTCTCACCCCAAAACTGTGCCCATCTCACTCCCAACGGGGGTCCTCCCCCCACTGATCCCTGTGGTTCAGGGGGTCCTATCACCACCACCCCCTCCCCCATCTCCCTGCAGCCTGGGCAGTTGATATTAAATGCTTTATTTTCAATATTAAAAACCAGTATTTTTAATAACTAAACAATGCTAAATTCATCTTACCAAAAAAAACCAAACAAACAGAAGGATGAGGTGGGGGGGGTTCTACCAAGGACGCTACAGCCCCGACAGAGCCTTCCCGGCCCCCCCCAGCCACACACGTACCGCAAGAGAGCCTTGAACTGGGGGGGGGGGTCCAAAATGGCCCCACATCCCCTAAAGGGGAGGGGAAGTACCAGGCTGAGCCCTGGAGCCACATAGGGACGGGTGCTATGGACCAGACCCAGCATCACCGCAGCCCCCGGTGAGGATGAGGCCGGGCTGGGCAGCCCAAGGGGGGGGATTTGGCACAGTGAGACCCCCGGGTTGGGGCAGGAAGGGGTTGGGGTACCCCTGTATTCCATCCGTATCCCCCCCCTCCCAGCACCAGCATGGACCAGGAGCCGGTGTGTTCCCATAGCTCCATCCCATCCCAACCCCACCCGTGGCAGGAATTAGTGTCAGAGGAGCAGCAGGCACCGAGCCCAACCTGGAGAATAGCCCTTGGAGAAGCCACTAAGAGAAAAAGGCCACCTGTGACCCCCCCCCCCCAACCACCCACCCCAGGCTGCTTAAGCCTTCCAGTGCCCACCGTGGAGCAACGGGGTCCACACTGGGATCCCCCTGGGAACGGGGCAGTCCCGGGGTGTCCCATGGAGCCTGCTGCAGGCTGGGGATGGGGCTGTAAACTGCAGGGAGCCGGGCATGTAAACACAGACCAGGGGATGGGAGGGCCCTGCCTGGGGGCTCCCGGCCCCCCACTTTCCCAATGGACCAAAACCAGGGGATATGGGGGGGGGGGGTGTCCACAAACCCCATCCCTCCCCGTGAAGCCGGGGAAGCAGCAGCAGCATCCCCCTGGGAAGGGGGCTCTGGAGCCATGGAACGTGTACAAAAAGGAACGGGATCTCCCCCCCCGGCCACGCTGGGAAGAGTCCTGTGCACCACGGAGCCCGGAGGGGACCGGGACCGTTGGGGGCCGGGCAGGGGGGAGCAGGAAAGTGTTAGAGAAGAGACGAGTCTACGTTACATGGGGAGGGGGCTCGGGGGGGTCCAGTCGAGTCGCGCATCCCGGGAATCCGAGCACTGAGATGGGTCAGGGAGGCTGGCGCTGCCTGCGGGGGATGCAGCCCTTGAGAACGGGATGGAGATGATGCTCCCCCTTTAGGGATCCCAGCCCCATTATGATGGATGGGGGTCCGAGCTTATGGGGCTGCAGCCATGGTGTGGGGCCACCCACCCCGCACGCACCTCACTTAATGAGGATCCCCGTGGGCCGGGCCTCGTCCTCGCTGGCGTTCCTCAGGTTCCTCTCCGCTTCCTCCGAGGATCTGGGGGTAAAGCAGGGTGAGAGGCAGCCCAAGGACCCCCCCAGGGGCCACCAGCACCGGTGGCAGCACCACGGGCACCGGTTACACCGCTCCCATCGCACTCACGCCAGGAAATCCTTCACTTCCTCCACGGTGATGTCCCCGGTGGTGTCCAGCGGGTTCTCCATGCTGCTGTTGGGGGAGTCGATGGAGCTGGGCGAGAAGGCGGCCGGGTGCTCCTCGGGGGACCCTTTGGGGACACATGGAGATGGGAGGGTTGCCAGGACACGGGGTGAGGTCCATAGGGACACAGCGTGCATGGCGGGGAGATGGGGAGGCCGTGGTGTGCATGGCGGGGACAGCATCACCACTCACGGTCGCTGTTGGTGGGGGAGTGCGGTCCCTCGGGGCTGCGCGGGACGTGGGTACCATTGGCTTGCGGCAGCTTCGGCGTTGCCATTGAGCTGTTGCTGGAAGGCAAGGCAGGGAGGAGTTAATGCGGGAGCCATGGGATGAGGGTTATGGGGATGCTGGGGTACGTCCTACCTGAGGCAGGTGTCCTGGAGCCGGGAGACCTCCAGCCGGCACAGCGGCTCCGTCACGTTCCTGGCGCTCAGCGAGAAGCGCTCGAACTCGGATGGGGAAATCAGGTAGAAACCTGGAGCAGGGAAGAGCAAGGAGCCTCAGGAACACCCCCATGGGGTGCAGCAGGACACCGAGGCCCACCCGCAGCAGCTGCACTGGGGCCCTCACCCTGCCCGTGCTTGGTGAAGACGCAGGAGGCGATGCCGCTGATGTCCTCCTTGCGGATGCAGCCGTAGTGGACCTGCGGGCGCAGGCTGGGCACGGTGAAGATGTGGATGTCCCCCAGGTTGGTGAGGCAGGCCAGGCAGTTCTCCAGGCGCTCCTCGGAGCTGGCGCTCGCCAGGCTCACCAGGGCCACCTTCCGCACCCGGCACCCTTCGTGGGCCGTCAGCTTGAACTTGGTCTTGGCGCTCACTTTGGGCAGGGTGAAGACCTGCGGGGTGAGAGGGGACAGGAGCCTGAGCAGCTCCCACTGTGGAAGCCTTTAGCTACGGGCAGCATCACCAGCATAATGACACGCATATGGGGTGCTCCAGGACCCGGTCGGTCACCTCCATCCCCATCCCTGCACCCGGAGCGATGGGGATACCCACAGGACACGTTCTGGATGCTGGTGCCCGTGCTCACCTTGAACTGCTCCTCGGAGGAGATGAGCATGGAGTGGCTCCCCTGCATGTCAGGAGCCTTGGCCAGGTCCCTCGAGACCTCATAGGGCTCGGGCAGGGGGTTCCCCCTGCCGTCCAGCACGGCGATGGCCACCACGGGCGCGCGGTGCATGAGCTGGATCTCCTTCCCCAGCACCGCCTCCACCGCCCGCTCCGAGAACTTCTCCTGCGACGGCACCTCCAGGGCGTAGGCGAACACCGAGCCCGAGTTGGTCCCTGCCCACATCGTGGGGCCGTGGTGGGCAGCTGCGGGGTGGGGATGGCAGCAGCATCAGAGCCCCCCTTCCCCATAGCCAGACCCACAGCTCTAGGGTAAAGGGGGGTTGGTTCCAAGGCCCGGGGGGACCCTCACCGTCTCGGAGGAAGGTGTCAGCGAAGTAAAGGCACCGCACGACCCCGGAGAGGGAGTCATCGGCGGAGCGCGGCTCGATGCGGCGCTGCACCGGCGTCATCTCCACCTCGGGGGGCCCTGCCTGCTCCGCCAGCTGAGCGTTGGCCTCCTGGACCTGCAGGGGGTGCAGGCATCAGCCCCTGCCCCATGGGGATGTGGGGGGGTCCCCGCTCCCCCCATACCCACCTTGCTGGAGGGGCTGCCGGCGTTGAGCCTCTTCTTGCCCGACACCCGGCTCTTGCGGATGCGGCGGAACGACTGCCGCAGGGACTTCTTGAGGGACTTCACGCGGGACAGGGGCCCCTCCATGGCCAAGGAGTCGTTGGGGTGCAGCGTACACCTGCGGGCACCGATGCTGCTCAGCACCCAAGACATCACCTTAAGGGGGTCCCCAGCACCGTGATACCCACACCCCCCCATACCTGGCCAGGACGGGGTTGCACCGGTAATAGTCAAAGAGCCCGAAGCCGTGGCTGGTGCCGAAGGCCACCAGGTTCCACTCGGAGTGGAGGGTGACGGCGGTGACGGCGGCGGGGGGCACGCACTGCACCAGGACGCTGGGCTGGAAGCCAGGGGCGAAGGGCAAGGGGCCGTTCCTTGGGGCCAGCCGGTCGTGGCCCTTCCAAGTGAAGCCCTCGCGGTCCTGCAGCAGGTCCACGGTGGCCACGCTCACGGCGTGCTCTGACTTCTCATCGCTCAGCTCCATCACCAGCACCTGCAGGGGGGACACCATGAACCCCCTGCACCATGACGGCCACCCTGCTGCATTGCATGGGCTGAACCCCATGGGTAAGAGCCCTTCATGGGGGGCTGCAGGGTCTGTGGGGGGGGTCAGACCCCGCTCTGCCCTACCTGCCCCGCTGTCCCAGCCACCACCATCTTGGCCGTGTACTTGCACAGAGCGATCTTCTGCACCCCCAGGCGTGGGTCGTCACTGTAGGGATCAAAGCAGCCCACCTATGGGAGGAAAGGGACTGTGGGGCTGGGCACCTTGATACCTCTATGGGGCACCCCAATGTCCCCCCCCCGCCACCAGCTGGGTACTGGCTGCAGTGCACGGGCTGCTCTGGGCATGATGCCTGTGACATGTCTGTCCCCATGTATCCCATTCCCCCCCCCACCCCACACTGGTGCAGACCCACAGGCAGGGCACGTGGAACAAGCATCCCTTGTTGTCCCCAGTGGCCGTCACACAGCAGCTGCGCCCCGAGACGAAGGGAGGCATCCCCGGTGCGATGCCGGGATGGCTCCATCCTCTCTATGGGGCTGTGTGTGCTGGGGGGGTGCAGAGGAGGGTGCTGGGGTGCTCACCTTGCGGAAGGGCGGCCACTCCTCCTCGGCCGCCTGGTTGAGGCTGTCGTTGTGCTCGCAGTCGGTCTGGAAGATGCTGGCGGTGCCCAGCTTGTAGAGGGGCTTCAGGGAGACCCCGGAAGCATCCCAGAACCGCACCGTGCCGTCCTCATGCCTGGGAACGGGGGGGGGGGCATGGGGAGATCCCTGTTAGCGCAGGGCCCTGACATCTGCCTGCTAACAAGGGCTGCCTGTGTGCTGGCAGATGGGGGGGTAAGGGGGGGCAGAGGGTGACACACTCCTGCCTAGCCATCAATGAGCAATGGGGCAGCGGAGCGAGACGGGGCAGCCCAACCCATCCCATCCCATTCCCCCACTGCAGGAATGGGGTGAGGATGTGTCTGTGTGTGTGTCCCACTTCTCTCCTCTAAGGGCACATGTGGGGTTCCCCAGGCCCCCCTCCCCACTGCCAGGCCACTCACCCCGTGAGGAGAAGCCCCCTTTGCGTAGGCTCCTGCGCCAGGTTCTTCCCCCCATCAATGGGCCAAGCCTGGAGGGAGAGATGGGAGGGATGGAGCCCATCAGCCCATCCCATGGGGCTCGGGCATCCTGATACCCCCCCCTACTCACCGCAGAGGAGAGCCGGGGGCTCTGCTGCTCGCCGGCACTGATGATCCTCTCCCAAAGCTTGAGGGGCACATTGGAGACGTGGCAGGAGCAGGTGATGGCGGAGGAGTGCAGCGGCGCCAGGTACGGGGCAGGGATGCTCGGCCAGCCCGGGGTCTGCAGGTCGATGGCCACCAGCTCCTCCTCCACCAGCACCACGAGGGCACGGGGGTTCTCAAAGCCTGGGGAGGGCACAGATGGTTCCTGCTAATGGAGACCCCCCCCTTTTCACCACCCACTCAAGGCCGCCCCATCAGTGCCTACCTCCCTCGGGCACGTCGGGGCTGTGCACGGTGAAGAAGTCAATGACTCGGGAGGTGAAGTCGAGCGTGGCCAGGGTCTGGCCCTGCAGCACGCTCACACAGTGCCGGTCCCCATAGCTGGCCCGCGGCATCCCCCCGCTGAAGATGATGAAGGGGTTCCTGGGGGGGGGGGGGGATGAAGCAGCATCCGTCAGCCCCTGCAGGATGCCCTCCCCGCACCCCCAGTGCCCAGCACCAGCCGCAGGGACGTACCCCGACTCGCAGGTCCGCCAGAGGATCTTGCTGATGGCTTTGCAAGGGAATGGACCTGAAATGAATCATTGCATCAGTGAGATAGGAGGAAACCTTCCGCATCAGTGAGAGCCCCAGCACCAAGGCCACCGCTAACCCATGGCACTGAGGCCTCGTCTCCGCACTGTGTGAACACTTGCAGGGATGGTGACTGCAGCCCTGCCCTGGGCAGCCTGTTCCAATGCCTGAGCACCCTCTGGGGCAGGAAATGTTCCTCAGCTCCATCTAAACCTGCCCTGGTGCAGCTTGAGGCCGTTTCCTCTTGTCCCATCCCTTGTTCCTTGGGAGCAGAGCCCAGCCCCTCCTGGCTCCATCCTCCATCAGGCAGTTGTAGGGAGCCATCAGGTCCCCCTGAGCCTGAACTGAACCCCCCAGTTCCCTCAGCCGTTCCCCATCACCCCTGTGCTCCAGGCCCTGCACCAGCTCCATTGCCCTTCTCTGCCCCCACTCCAGCCCCTCAATGTCTCTCTTGTAGTGAGGGACCAGAACCGAACACAGGATCCGAGGTGCAGCATCACCAATGCCCAGCACAGGGGCACAATCCCTGCCCTGGTGCTGATCCAGGCCAGGATGCTGGGGGCTGCCTGGTCACAAGCTGCCCGTGTTGGGCTGTCATTAACCAACACACCCAGCTCCTTTTCCATGAGCAGCTTCCAACCACTCTGCCCCAAGCCTGCGGCATTGCCTGGGGTTGTTGTGACCAAGTGCAGGACCCGGCACTTTGCCTTGGGGAACCTCATCCCATTGGCCACAACCCATGGATCCAGCCTGTCCGGATCCCGCCGCACAGATAAAGATCCCAACCCTGAGCTGCAGCAGCAACACCAGGACAGGACCATCAGCCCCCAAACCCCCCTTAGTCTCCCCCATTAACCCCATACCATAGGGGATGGTGGACATGACGGGCTGCTGGGTCTTCTGTCCGGCACCACTCACGGCCCACACCATGTACCCTCCATCACTGTGCGAGCTGACGATGCTCTCCCCGCTCTGCTCCCAAGCCAGGCTCTCCAACTGCTGCAGGGGCACACAGAGGATGCTCAGCACCCGGGATGGGGGCACACACACAAGGCCATGCCCCCCCCAGTACCTGGTTCCCAAGGAAGAGGTGCTGGACCACGCGTGTGCCCTGCTCCCAGAGGACCACCAGCCCCCGGCTGTACCCAATGAGGAGCCGGCTGCTGTCCCGCGGATGCTCTTGGATGGACTCCACCGGTCCCAGCGCCTTCCCGCAGCGATACTCATCGGGAACACTGCACAGGGGGGGACACAACGGGGGTCAGGGGGTGCTGGGAGCGATGGGGACGGGGTGCAGGGGGTGCAGGGCTCACCTCTGCAGGACCTCATCCGGGAAGAGGGTTTTGTCCTCCAGCAGCACCAGCGTGGGCAGAGCGAGGAAATACATGGCACCACCCTCGGTACCCAGGCAGGCCACTGCACTGGAGGACGTGGGCAGGACCACAGTCACCCGGGTGATGCCAGGAGAGCACCTATAGGGAGGAATGGGGGGGGCTGTGTCAGCCCTATGATGGGGGAGCAGCAGAGACCCCAAACCTCCTCTTCCTCAGCGCTGCATCCCCATCAGCACAGGAGAACCTCAGCACTAAAGCAACCAGAGCCGTTATCACCCCTGTGCCCTGCCAGCGCCTATGGAAAGCTCAGGGCTGCGTTATCCCATCCCGGCTGGGATCACAGGAGCATCCAGCAGATAAACCAGCGCCACCGAGGAGACCTTGGGAGCATCCCACGCGCCATTCCCAGCCAGCAGCAGGGGAGCGACTGGAGACACCCCCCCACCACCACCACAAGCAAGCACTCGGTGCTATCGGACCCTGGGCGCCCCGGGAGGCCGAAGCTGCGGGTCTCTTCCAGGTGGGAGCATCCATCCTTCTGGCACACCTCCCAGAGGTGCAGCGTGTTGTCATCCAGCAGGGACAGGAGCCATCCCTGGGGACACACACACACAGTGACAATGGGGTGGGATGGGGGACAAGGGGAGCTGCCCCCCCCGGACACACACACACATACATGCATGCATCCCTACCTGGCCAGGGAGGAAGTGCAGCTGGGTGACGGTGGCCGTCTCCTTGTGCAAGCCCGTCAGCTCCACGCCTGGCGTGCCGTATCTGGGGGGGCTGTTAAAGGAATAACGACAGGAGGGCCCCCCCCGCCCTAAATGAACCCACAGACCCCTAAGTTCCACACACACACACCCCTCAGGCCACTGTCTGTCAGCAGTTTAGCCCCATGCCTCTGTAAAGAGCCAGGTGAGCATCCTGGACGCAAAGAGCATCCCTGATGCTGGAGCCAGCCTTGGTAACACTATGGAATCCCAGAATGGTTTGGGATGGAAGGGACCTTAAAGCTCATCCAGTTCCAACCCCTTCCACTGGAGCAGCTTGCTCCAAGCCCCTGTGTCCAACCTGGCCTTGAGCACTGCCAGGGATGCGGCAGCCACAGCTTCTCTGGGTACCCTCACAGGGAAGAGCTTCTTTAGACCTAACCTGAGCTCCCCCTGTTTAACCTTAAACCCATCACCCCTTCCCTACCGCTCCAGCCCCTGCTGCACTCTCCCTGCTTGGGATGCCCCGGAACGCCTCCGACCGGAACGCCGCGGGTCAGGATGCGGCCGGCACGCGGCCTCCGTGGGTGTGCGAGGGCCCGGCCGGCTCCTGCCCTCCACCACTCCCTTGTTCCGGAGCAGAGGCGCCGGCAGCCCCGGCAGCCCCGGCGCAGCGCAGGGTGGGGATCGGCATGCGCTGGCACGGCCTCACTCACCAGACTGGTCCCGGCGACGCCGCTCGGCAGGAACCGGGGCAGGACCCGCACGGTGCTCCCCGGTCTCACCAGCATCCCATAGCAGTGCTTTACCGGTGCGCTGCACTGAGGCTGCACACAGAGGGGCATCGCTTCCTGCTGCCCCCCCATTACCCAGCACAAGGAACCAGCCCAGCGGCTCTGCCTGGACCAACAGGCAGGAGCTGTCGGGCAGCATCAAAGGATGTGGGGAGACCAAGGTGCACACACAGGGCTCTGGATGCTGCACGGATGGGGGATGCCATCCTGGGGGCTTTCCCCTTCCTAAATGGTGCCACGGGAGCACCGGTGACACCGGCTCACTGCAATGGGTGTCCAAGCCCCAGGAGATGCCCCAGGCAGTGGAAACCCCTTGTCTGCAGCTGGATCCACCCATCCCAGCTCGGGGAGCACCCATGGGTGCCCCCACTAACCAGTAGCACCAGTCAGGCCAGCTCCGGCTGCTGCCTCGCCTGGCCCTGGGAGCCTCCAGAAGCATCTTCCCTGCTCATTGCAGGGGGGGGGCTGGATCAGTCGATGACCACTGAAGGTCCCTTCCAACCCAACCCATTCCACCATCCTGGTGGCAACCAGAGCAGGGCCGGGTGCTCACCGGCAGGGGAACCCCAAACCCCCAAACCCCCCCTACGGAGGATGTTGCATGCACCACAGCGCGCTCATGGTCCACGGAGGGCTTCAACCCCATGGGGCAGGGCTGGATCCAGCGCTCCAGAGCCAAGCATCCGAGCGGAGCACCCGGTGACATCGCGGCCGGGCTGGCACCGGCAGCACAAACCCCCCCTTCCCCACGCCATCTTTGTGCTGGGGGGGGGCAGCACCACAACAGGGAAAGGGGGGGGAAGGGAATGAGATGCCCCCCCCCAATGCTGACCCTGCTGCAGGCGCAGCCGCACCCCCCCCCCCCTTGCACTCCCACCCCGCATTCCAGCGGCGCGGGGCCCCCGAGCGCGGCCGCATCCAGCCTGGGCCTGGCCGCCGGCCAGCGCCGCTCTGAGGCTCCTGCACGCCGCCGGCAACAAAGCCCGGTCTGGCCCCGCGTCCTCCTCTGTGTGTGTGTGAGTGTGAGTGAGTCCCCCCCCGGGACTGGGATCAGCGCCCATCACTGCCCCTCACCCCGGCGCCAGGCTGGCCGGAGGCCCCGCTGCCCCATGGATGGATGGCAGCCCGATGGGATAACAGCGGGATGCACCCCCCCAAGAGGATGGGATGCCAGCCGGGATGCTGGTTCCCACGGTGGTCCTACAGTCACCCCCTCGCTGCCAGAGCCAGCTGGAGGGATGGGCAAGCAGCACGGCCGTGTCCCCGGTGCAATGGGAAGGGCTAAGGGGGGGGTCCGGTCCTTACCTCCTGCCCTCCGGGTGGGAAAAGGATACAGCTTCACAGCCCCAGCCTTGGTGCCGATGGCCATCACACGCAGGACCGGGTCGTAGGCCAGGGCGCTGGGCTGGCTGGGGAAGCCGTGCTCCACTGTCTGCAAGGGGGGGACGGGCAGGTCAGAGCGGGGACACCCACCCCAAACCCCCCCCCCCCCAACTTTCACCCCTATGGCTCTGATCCCACACCGGCCACAGCTTCACCCCGGGATGGGCCATGAGGATGCTGCCTCGTCAAGGTGGCACCAATGCGGTCCTTGCGGAGGGGGACAACGCTGCTCACCCCGTTCCCACCTGACACCCCAAAACCCAGCCAAGCCAAGGGCTGGGGTCGATCTGAGCTTGCACCCATTGGGCAAGGGACCCCCACTTTCACCCCATCCATACCCAAGGCGCGGAAGCCCTAGGAGGAAGTGGGATCCAGCTCATCCCCACCGCACCATCCCTGGGGGTCCATGGTGCCGGGTGGCAGAACCAGGCAAGCAAGACCCACCGGTGCCGGGGATGTCCCTGCCGGAGCCGTGTGCCCACAGGCACCTTCCCAAGGAAGTCCTGGCCATCCATGGCACGCCTGGGCACGCCGGCAATGGGGGGACACAGGGGACACCCTAAAGTGAGGGCATCAATGGGGGGGGGGAAGCAGCCCCGAGGGCAGCTTGGCTGAGCAGTGACGGCGCGATGGGATGATAGGGAGGGCGCCGGAGCCAGCCTGGCCGGATCCTGACCTGATCCCTTTGTCTGGGGCAGCTTTTGGCACAGCCACCGTCACCTCCTGGCTCCCGTTCCCCTCCATAGGGACACCTTTAGGAGCGTGGCAACATCCCTGTTCCATCCAGAGGGTCCCAGTGTACCTCGGGGGGTGCCATTAATGGGTGCTTGTGGGTCTATGTGGCAGCCCCATGCAGCGTCACCCCAAATCCCATCGGGATGCGCGCTGCACCGGAGGATGCAGGGATGCTTCAGGCTGGACACCAGTACGACAACGACAGCAAAGCCCCACAGCGCTGCCCTCCCTGCACCCCCATCCCCATGGGGGGACCCGCTGGCAGCCCCCCATCCCCAGCCCTTCCTCCCAGCCGGCAGCGGGGCTGCATCCGGCCGCCTGTGCCGGCCCCGGCCAAGGCGCGCTCCCGGCCAAATCACAGCAGATCCCGGGATTGCTGGAGCTCGGGAGGGAAAACAACCGCTAATGGGAGGCAGGTGGGCAGCCGGCGGCCCCCGCGCTGGGCTGCATGGAGAGGGGCTGATCCCGGCCCCCCCTGCCGTGTCCCGGTGGATGCAGACCCTATGGGGAGGCTGCTTGGGCGGGATGCGGATGTGGGATCATCCCTACTAGAACTGGGGGGCTCTGCACGGGGTGAGGTGTGTGTCCCGGCCGGACCTTCACCCATAGCAGTGGGGCTGGGGGGGATAGGGATGTGTTGGGGTGGTGGGTGCTGCTCTGACCCCCCCCATCGTGGGGCACCCCAATACATCCCAGCCCAAGGTGATCTGGGGGTGCCTCCACCGTCCCCACCACGACTTTAGGGAAGCGTCCGATGCCAGGATGCTGCCAAAGGATGGATGGGCACGGGCTGGGCTCAGCCGGGGGCTGTTGCCACTGCTGTGGTCCCAACACCATGGGAGTCCCGGGATGGGGTGCACCCATGGGCATGGATGGATCCTGCACCCAAGGGCTGTCAAGGTCCCCCCCCCGGGTGTTTGATGCCCCCCCCCAAACAGGAAACCAAGTGGGGGACCAAGCTCTGGGCCCCGGGTCTCCCCCCACAGACACATCCTTGGGGTGCAAAGGGAGACCCCGGGACCGCTGACACAAGGGTCCAGCCCCCCATACCCCACCCTTGGGCGGGGTGAGGACCTGACCCCCCCCCATTGCAGCCGGGGATGCACCCCAAAACACCGCTGCCAATGAGCGAGGCTGGGAGGAACCCATAGGGAAAGGGCAGCGGCTGGATACGGGGGTGCGGGAGGGGGACACCGCGAGGCAGGGATGCCAGCTGCACCCCAAGGGAGACGGGCACCCCGCAGCCACGCACCGGGGGGGTGCCGGTACCCACGCCGGGGGTGCATCCCCCCCCTCGGGATACCCCCATTGCCTGCATCCCTCCATCACGGGGGGGGTCGCGGTGCTCCCATCCCCGAGGGGGTGCTCCCCGGTTCCCATGGGAGCGGGGTCTGCCCGTCCGCTCCCCCGGTAGCTCCCGGTGCTCCCGTACCCCCCCTCCCCCGCCATCGCCGCCCTCACCTTACTGAAGGCGAACAGGTCGTGCCGGATGCGGTCCCGGTGCGGGTCGGCACCCTGCCGCCGGAACCGAAACTTCATCATGGTGGAGCACGGTACCGGGAGGGGCGGGCGGGGCCGGTACCGGAGCGGGATACGGGAGGGGGGGGGGTTCCCCCGGTAACCGGTTATAAGGAACGGTCCCCGGTGGTTGATCCCGATCCCGATCCCGGTCCCGATCCCGGGTCCCCCGGTGCGCGCGCGCCGAGCCCCGGGGCAGGCACCACCGCGGCGGGGCGGGGCGGGGCGCAAGGGGTTGATGGACAAAGGGTCGCAACCAATCAGAGCGCGTCTTCGCGGCGTGGGCCCGCCTACCGGCGTTACGCATGCGTTGGCGCGGGGGGATGATGGGAGTTGTAGTTCTTTGGCGGAGGCGCCCTCTATGGGTGCTTTGTGTGTTGGGACTGGGGAGGTTTGAAGCCAATTCCCACTTTTTACCATGGGAAAATGGGGATGGGACCGGCAGGGTATTCCCAAAGTGTTTATCATGGTCACAGGGCTCCTTGATCCATAGGGAGCCCTGGATTCAGTGCCTCTATAGCTATGGGGTCTTTGTCCAGCAGGATGCATCCGCGCCGAGAGGGACCACGCTCAGCATCCTGCTGGTCCCTGCTATTGATATCCATGCCCCATCACCATGATTGTCCCCACAGTGAGGGGAAAACCATGCCCTGCACCCCACTTTGGGGTGAGTCAACCCAAGGCAGGGCAGGGCTTCCCCTCCCTGCTGACTAACATCGGTCCTGGGGTGATGCCACATTGGAGTGACACAGCTTTTTGGGGTGGAAAATGGCCTGAGGGGGGGGTTGACCTGATGCCCTGGTGATGGGCTCATAGATGGATGGATGGGTCTGCCCCCGCTGACAGCCCCAAGGCTTGAAACCAAGTGATGGAAAGGACATAGATCAGGGAGGAGCTCAGGAAGAGGACGGGCAGACCCCATCCAGCCATGCCATCCCCTCATGTCCATCTCCATCTTCCTCTTGCAGGAGGACAGGGAGGACGAGGGGCTCCATGCAAGGATGAAGTACAGGGGAATGCAGCCCCCAAGGGGTGCTGGGGATACCTGGGGACCAAGTAATATGGGAGCTGCAGGAGGACAGTGTCCATATCTGCTTCCTGGTCCCTGAGGTGGGAGAACTGGAGGAGGAAGAAGGGAGGGAACAGGGAAGGAAGGAAAGGAGAGAAGGAGGAAGAAAGGAGAGGACATAAAGAGGAAGGAAGGAAAAAAGGGAAGGAGGAAGGAAAGGAGGGAAGAAAGAAAAAAAAGGAAGGAGGGAAAAAGGAGAAGAAGGAATGAACAGAAGGGGAATGGGAGGAGGGGAAGAGAGAAGGAAGGACAGGAGGGAAGAAGTGAAAGGGAAAAGACAGGAAGGAAGGAAGGGGGGAGGAAGAAAGGAGGGAAGAAGGAAGGAAAGAAGTAAAGGGGAAGGAAGAAAACGAGGGAAGGGAGAAGGAAGGGAAGGAGGGAAGAAGGAAGGAGGAATGGAGGGAAGGGGAATGGAAGGGAAGGAGGGAAGGGAGAAGGAAGGAAAAGAAGGAAAAAGGCAGGAGGAATGGAGGGAAAGAGGGAAAGGAGCGAAGGAAGGAAAGGCAGGAACAGGGAAGGAAGGCAGCAAACCCCATCCCCACTTTCTAGGGCAGCACAGGAGGGACAGCCTCCATTTGGCCGCCCCATCCCTGCGGGGAGACGGGGACTCCCTTAATTTAGCATCAGCTCCCACAGCCCCATTCCTGCTGTGGGGAAGCAGGACACGGCTCCCATCCACCGGCACCACCACAGAGCCCGAGCGATGCTTTCTGCTTTTATTCAATTAATGCAGCAATCTATACAAGGGGAAAAAAAACCAACCCAAAGGAATAACCATGAAAACAGTGGAATTCCAACCCCCACCAGCGAAGAACCGGATCCTTCCCAAGGAACCAACGGGAATCCCAACGATTCCCCCCCCCCCCCAACCTTGTCAGCCTGTACAGAAAATAATCTCTGCCCCATTTACAGCGTTTCACACAGTACTTCTCGTATCCCAAACGTCTCAACTGTACAACTTTGATACAAACCCCGGCTTTTTCCTAGGAAAAGCTTCCGGAAAAAAAATATTGCCACTTCTCTTTTTTTTTTTGTATTTCTTGTTATTTGTAACAAAAAAAAAAAAGGGGGGGGGAGGATTAAATTCTTTAGGAAAAAAAGAGAAAAGCCTAAAATTCAACGTCAGAACTTGAAGAGTGGGCAGGGGTGGGAAAAGGAGTGGGGATGGGAAAAGGAAGCTGAGATGCTTCTCAACTGAGGATTTCTCCTTCCCACTGGGAAAGGGATCACTTTGGGCCGGTAAAAGACTTTCTGCTGCTGATGGGGTCCCCCCCCCAGTGCCCTCCTCAATGCGTTCTGATCCATGGGGTGAGCGCTGGTACCAATGGCTTCAAAACCAGAGGTCAGGGCGCTCATCCCAATGGATGGTGGCTCATGGTGGTGCTGGATGCCCATCCCCATGAGTGATCCCTTGGGATGAGCCAAGCCTGTGGGAGTTACAGCTCTCTCCTACCATCTGGATGAGGGTTCGGCAAGCGTGGAACCAGATGTGGCAAGCCAAGCTCTGCCTGCAGCTCACCTCCTAGAGCCACCAAACAGCCCTTCCCATGGGCACAGTGAGCCCACTCCATGGATGTTAGAGCTTTAGTTCCATCCCGAGCCTCCAAGAGACGCAGCTAACAGTGAGAGACCCCAATGCCTCCTGCTCTTTGCAGAACTGAGGGGATGGAACCCACCAAAGCAGGGACAGACCCCACTTTCTCCCCCCTTCCTTAAGACAGACAGTTCTCCCAGTCTGGGCTGTGGGTGTATGGGATCGTCACACTGAACATAGCCTTATTCCCAGTTTCGGGATGAGCAGGTTACACCAATGACACACTGTGGGTGGATGGAGAGGAGGTGGGACTGCGTGACTGGACTGAACAGATACAACAAAGCCAACGGGGTCAGGTCTGTGCATGAGTCTGGGGAGGACTTCTTCACACCAGATGCATGGCACCAGCCTGAGCTGAAGCCCAACACAGCCAATGACAGAGAACAGGTATGGGCATCACCAGTATTAAGAGCTACAGCTTTCCAGGTAGGTTGCAGTTTGGGATCCAAACGCCTGGATCCCCATGGAAATGTGTTTGGAATCAGGGATTCACTCTGCTGTTGTTCAGTGCAAAAGAGTTAAAAAACGATGTTATCTACACATATACATCTGTGTCTATAGAAAATGTCTGTACAAGAGGGGAAGGTGGCCTGCCCACACGCTGGGGACACCCAGGAGATGCTACAGGTCAGGCTGGTTCTGTCCCATTCTCACTCCAAGGTGCCAAGCCCCAACCAACCAGGTTGAAAACACATGAGAAGAGTGGCTGGAGCGGTGAGCAGCTCCTCTTGTCCCTCCAACCACATCTGCCAGCTCAGACCCACTGCAGGGATGTGGGGCAGGGAGGAAGGAAAGAGGGGAGAGCTCCCAACCATGGCCTGCAGGAACAGCAAAACAAGGTGGGAGAGGAAGGATACCTGCACACACACAGACTGGATGAGGTGATGGTACCAGGCTAGAGGATGCAAGCAAGGCTGAGGAGTAAGACCTAGGATGTCTCGTTCAGCCTTCAGTGGAGACAAAGCCAACAGCTCATCCCATGGGATTCCTGTGCTGGAAAGCAGCCCCAGAAAGTCAGGCTGCCTCCAGCTTCGAGCTGACACCAGGGTACAGCATCCCTACTGCAGAGGTAGGTGCAGAACTGGGAGCTGGTGGGGAAGAGCTGGTTGTGCAGAGCCTGGCAGTGAGCACTGCCACCATCAGCATCACCCACATCAGACCTGACACCAGGACACATCCAGGATGAAGCCAGGAAGATAACTGGAAACAGGCATTGCAGGCATCCTGCTAGCAGGTCCCCAGCTCACCAGAGATGCCTGCCCCAGCCATGAGGAGGAGAAGGGATCGCTGCTCCCTGCATGTGGTTTCGCTATCAGGGGAATGCCAGGCTTCCCAAAACAGTGGATGTGTAGCCAAGAGCTGGCCTGGATTCTCTGCAGAAAGGTAGAAGGGTGACGAACACCCCTTGGGATGCTAAATGTGGTCTGGAAATGGGGTTTTAAAGGGTTCAGAAGCAGCAGAAGCATCGGCTCTCAGATCTCCGGGCAGACAACACCGGTTCTGCGCCTCTACCTCCGCATGGAGCCAACAGTGGCTGTCACCAGGAAACCAACCTGATAACAAGAGACAGGCAGTGAGAGCCTCACCTGTAACGCTCCACACATCAGCTCTGTGCTGCAGGTGACAGTCAGCTCCTTTGTACTAACATGACCACTAGAGCCAGCCTGAGCAGCGGCCCCAGCAACAGGAAAGGGGCAGGAGCTACGGAAATCAACGGGGAAGGCAAAGCACACCAAGCCCCAGATGTCAGCAAAGGGCACTGCGAGGAGCAGCGCTTGGCTTGGTGGGATTTGACTGGGAGCCCCTCAAGACAGCAGCAAACCGGGTTTCAAAACAGATTACATCTTTTTATTGCCAAGCGTGCGGGCCATGAGGTGTGAGAGGGACACGACACGAAGAGAAACTACACCTGGGAGGAGGGCAAAGCAGCGGGGGTTTAGAAAGAAGACTACTCCTTACAACTGCCAACGCTCGGGTTCAAGGGATCAACCGGAGGAAGCCTCTTAAAAAGTAGGGTGCTAAAGATGCTGTTGGGCCCCGAAGCTTTGGGAACACACTGAGGCTTTGGTCTGGGCTAACGCAAGCTGGGAGGGAGAGGAAGAAGGCAGCAATCTAACGCTAACGCCATGGGGCCCAATGCCTGGGGCTTCCCTGTAGCAAGCAGAAAACTCCCTGCCCCAGGAATACAGGCAGGGATAAAGCCAGGAGGAGGTGGGCAACCACTGCTGAATGCACTGAACTGAGGCCAAGCTTAGACCCTTGCAGTGTCCCCGCTCCCAGAGCCAGCCTTGGAGGGGACACTCTGCAGCAGAGATGCCCAAGGCCATGGCAGTGCCTGTTCCTGCTCCATCAGAGCGCATCCCTTGGGATGGGATGCTGCATCACCTCAACCCTCTCCACCTAAAGGGGCAGGGGGATGAAAACCAGTGCCCCAGGCATGGAGAACAGCGCTTCTCAGGGGGTCCCAAGGCAAACGTCCTTCACAAGCACAGCAACTCTCCTATTCCTCTTTGCTATCCCCAGCTCTGGGAAGCAGCATGTACTCAATGTGATCACTCCCTCAGCAGTCCCAGGGCTCCAATACGGACCTGGGGCCAGCCTCACTGAAGCCAGCCACGTTTCCTTCTTCCTCAAGCAAAACACACTCCTCATCAGACCAGCACTGAGAAACCAGAGCTCAAGTACATTCCTCTCGGAGAGGGCAGCACAGGGAACTGTGCGAGCCCACGCTGGCTTGGGGAAAGGGACTGGAAAGGGAATCTATGTTAAAACTGGTACTAAAGTGCAACAAAAAAAAAGTCCTAAACCCTTTGAAATCAACCGCAGTTAAGAGGGGTCTGCAAAGCTTCAAACTTCCAGTTACTGCAGGGCATCCTTAAACCAAACCCAGCAACAACGAGGTCAGAGCAGACCAAAGGAGCCCTTTGGTGAAGCACATCCGAGGCCACCGCAGCCAGTTTCAGCTCCTGGGGTCGAACGTTACATTTAAACCATGTGGAAAGGAGGAAAGTTAAAGCAAAGAAAAGAAACACCACCCCCCCACCACCCCAAAAATACAATTCCTGAATCCTGCACAACGAAACGGGGAAACTTTTTTGGTGTTTTCAAAAGCAATCCCAACAGACAGCCTGCCATCACTTTATCTGTTTCCTAAGGGAAGAGATGCCCGTTTGACCCCATGACTCAGGGCACTGTGTGCACTGGACATGTTCCCATCCTGCTGTATGTCTCAGCATTCCTCCATTCATCAAAGCAAATCGCTAGGATCCTTCCTGTTTACTCTTCAGCCTGAAAGGAAAAACCAAAACTGAAGCTAGATGGAAGATAGCCAGAGGGAAGAGAGAGTTTTCACAGACTGGAGGCCAATGGGCTCCACTACGAGCCTGGAAAGTGCAATCCTCAGTGTCGCCTCATCTTAACTTTCCTGGCTGGGCTTCCATCCTCCTCTTCCTCGTCACAGTCCTCAGTGTACTCGTAAGACCTTCGCCAATAGTTCTCGGAGCTGAAGTTGCTCCTTCTCCTATGTTTTGGTAAGAGGACCGAGCGCCTGTTCTCCTCTTTATCCATTTCTAGAATCCGTGGCCTATGGGAAAAGAGGAAGAAGGGAGCGTGAGCACATCCACGGTGGGGTTTCAGCATTCCCTGTGTGGCTTTGCATACTTTGAGCACGGTGACTGACTGTTTCCACATCGCTTTCCCAGTCCTGGGCACTGAGCAGAGCAGGAACACATCACACCCCCTGGCACCTCCCATAGGGAAGCTGGGAATTGTGCTTTCAATGGTGCACATCTTCCCCCTTCCCAGAGCAAGTTTTGGTCCTTACCTCCACCAGGAACACTTCCAAACAGCCCAGTCACCTCTTTCTAAGTGCAGCTTGTGGCTTCAAGAAGCATCCCTTGGGAAGAAGGCTCTGTCTCTCCTATAGGAGAACTCGCAGCACAGAGCTGAGCCCCTTTTTAAGCTGCTGGGGTGCTTGTGGTGCAGGATCAAACCCCAGCTCTGAGCTCCTTTGTCCTCTCAAACATCAGCATAAGGCAATTGTTATTGCTACAAAGCTGCCTCTGCTCTTGTCTGTGATTGCTTTGGAGCAGGACAGGGCTGCTGGGCTGCACACACCACTTATTATATCCTAAGTGGAAACTGAGTTCCATAAAGAGATACCACCGCATGCTGGTTACCTATGTTACACTTGAGGTTTTGAGGCCAAAAGAAGAGAAAAACAGGCTTTTGATACTCATCAATCTGCTGCAGGGATCTATGCACCACACCCCAGCCAGGTTATAGAATGGTTTGGGGTTGGAAGGGACCTTAAAGCTCACCCAGTCCCAACTCCTGCCATGGACAGGGACCCCTTCCACTAGAGCAGCTTGCTCCAAGCCCCTGTGTCCAACCTGGCCTTGAGCACTGCCAGGGACGGGGCAGCCACAGCTCCTCTGCTCCCAGCAGCTCTGTGAGATGCACGGATTTGTTCTGCGTGATCGCTTCTCTAATCACACACCAGCCCGCTGCCTGCTCCCAGCTTCCATCTGCAGGCTCCTCTTCTTGCTCTTCCTCCCCAGTCAGGCAGGGTGCAGGTGAATGAACACTGCTCATAAACACACCATCCCCACCCGCCTGCCTCCAGGACAGGTTGAAACACGGGCTGGGAGCGCAGAGCCAAGCCCCAGGCCCAAGCCATGCTTTTCACATGACATGCAGAGCACACTGCACGGTCCTCAGGAGCATTTGGAACTGGGGAATAGCAGGAATATCCCTCACGGCTACCAGTACGTTCACACAGAGCAAGGTGGTGTTTGAAGGAGGCTTTGCTGCAGAGCTCAGGCTCCTCAGTAAGGAGCTCTCCTGAAGGTCAGGCTCACACATTCACACAGTCTGGTTACACACACACGCAGCTGGGGAACCAAAACAGGTCTGAGAAGCTTCCCAAGACGACCTTCACCTTTCCCAGATAGCAAACCCTCCCTTTCTTCCTCCCAAGATTGCTTTCATAATATAGTCTAACGTAGCTGCACAGGTTGCTTGGCAATAGAGGTCAAAAATAATTAGCTGCAGGGAAACTATTGTTTGGAATGACTGCTTTATCAGGAGCCAGCCAAATCTATTGCTCCTTCATTATGCCACTCACAGGATAAACAATATAAGCTGCTTACAGCCAGAGCTTAGCCTCCACAAGCCTAGGAGGAACGTGTGTTCCGATAAAGCACATCTGTACACTACTGAAAGCACCTGGGAGGTGCAAAGCAGGGTGCTTTTAAGTGCATTCTGCAGCCTCTCTTATCTGACACCGGGACAGACACACACAGCCCCAGAAACAGCATCCAAAACATTGCTTTTAGGAGAGATGATCCTACCTGTGAGCAGCATCAGGATCTGCTTTGCGATGGGACCGCTTTGGTTTCAGGATGTGGTCCCGGTTGCTTCCTGAGTTATAACCCGGTGGCAACACAGAGCTACTCAGGGATTTTGTTTCCAGTCGAGGTGCATCTAGTCTTGTTCTGCAAAGAGTCAAAGGGAAGAGAATGTGCAAGGAGCTTCTAGAGAACCACGAGTGTGCTGCAGCAGATATCGACCCTAGGTGTGCTGAAACCCCCTTCAGCCCCAGGCACACAGCTCAGGAAGAGGGTCAGGACTATTGACACCCAACAGCAGAACAAACTGCAGCTTTCTGGCACTTAAACCTTCAGCTTTAACCTTTGCTGCCTCGGTCAGAGGGATACGTGAGGGGAATACCAATGGTGCCGGGCTCACTGGAATACCAGTGATGGAATAGAGGCAGTGGCACACTTGTGAAATCCTATGAAATCACAGTGACTGGTCGATAACTCACAGCTCCTGTTAAGCCACCTGTGAAATTCATCATCACCTCCATCAGTAATAACTGCTTCCAGGTGGAAACTCCCTCCTACCCGGAGTTCTCATGGGGTCAGGCGTTTCTCAGCTTGACTAAGAGGTGTAAAGAGTTGAAGTACGAGTCAGGAGAAGGCCTGGCCAAGAGAAGCTGCACCCACATCCCTTCCAGCAGCACAGAACACACTCAAGCTGCACCAGAGAGCAAGCACAGCTCATCCCAAAGCAGTGCTGCTGCTGGATAAGGCGCTGCTGTAGGCATGCACAGGGGGAGGGAGGCAGCAGGAATGAACACTTGGTGGAGTTTATCACAGCTCTATCACCATCCCCAAGCACAGCACAGTTACCAGCTCAACTTCAAAGCTCTGCTAAAACACAGACCGAAGGCTAAGAATGGGCAAAACACACTCAGAGGTGGTGCTGGTGCTCCAGAATGCCACCTCCAGGAGGATGCAAGCAAATTCCCAGAAGGAAAAGCACCGTGATCCTGCTGTTGCAGCCTGTCTCCCTCCTTTGGCTGAGAGGTGAACGTGTAAGGGGTTTAGGTGATACAAAGAGAAGAATTCCTACTTGCTCTCTAGCGCTGAACTTCAGCACCTGAGGGAGGTTTCCACACAAGAAACCCAACCTAAAATCCCATTAGGAAGTACAGGCAGTTGCCAAACTTCCTCTCTGCTACTGTGAGAGCCTCTTCAGTTAAGCAGGGTGATGCCATGCTGGCAGTTGTGAAACTGAGCAGAGCAGCCGGGCTCCATCCAGCATGCCAGAAACAAGGAACACCTCCACAAGCAGCTGCCTGCTCTAGTCTGCACCACCATCATCCTGAGCTGTTCCCAGCTCCGGGACTGGACCCAGCCCAGGTAGAACACCAAAGGCATTGTGGATCCTGCCCTGAACGAGTTCTGTGGTTTAAATACCTCTCAAATACAACAACTACAGGCCTGCAATTAAAGCAAACCACCAAGTGTACTGCAAGGGCACAGGAACAGCAGCCACGCTCGCCCTGTCCACAGAGCAATGCAGCTACGAGCTGCAGGAGCAAGACACTACAATGGAGAGCAAAGCACCTACCAAAGTCCAAGTTAAACAGAATCACTGATGTAACTGCTTACACATGGCAGCATGAGCCCTCCCAGATGACTTTCAAGACCCATTTCAACAGGTCTCATTTCCATCCTACCTCCCATATTGCCTCCTTCAGCACCTCAGGAAAGAGAGCACCATTCCTCCCCACTCCAGCCTCTTGCTCCACAAACTTCCAAACCTTGCTGGTTCCCTGCCATCCTGCACTCCAGCACGCAGGAAACACTGTAAATATCATCACTCTACAGCACTGAAGTGTTTATGACCTACTTGGGAACCACGCCGCTCCCGAGCAGCCTGCAAAACCCTGCTCCTGATTCCACAGCTTCCTTCTGCCACTGCCAGCACAAACCATCTCTGGATCCACACACTCCAAGTACAGGCAAGAGCAGCTCCAGATGTGTGGGACCCAGCAGGCTCTGACAGCCTAATTAGAGCCAAATATCCCAGCTTCAGTGAAGCTTATGCTCCTCTACACCCCAACTGACCTGATCCCATTGGATAACTCAGGGTTGATCCTTATCACGAAGATGAGGAAGAGGAGTTTTACATCATCTGCTCCCAAGCCTTTCATGCTAGGAGGCTACCAATGGAAGTAGCTGGTTTCCTGCTTGTGTAACACACTATTTGAGGCTGCCCAAAGTGGCAGGATCCAGGAGTGGAGAATGGCGTTTGCTGCAGGAATACACGCCGCGGGGATGCGAGCGCAGAGGAAGGTCACAAGGGAGAAGCAGCAATTAATAAGCTCTATTTAGCAGGCATCAGAGTGCACCCTTTGGCAACCAGGCAATTGCTGTGTAAGCACCAGGGCTGCTGAACTCTATGGAGATTACACATCAAGAATTACCAGGGGGTTCCCGCTTTGCTCAAGAGAGAAAAGCCTCGTGTGGTTCCATTCAGCCTCCCATTGCTGTCCGTGTGTGATCGGGCACATGCTTCTGCTCTAACACTAAGCAAATCAAGGCCCTGAAATGAGGGGAAGACAGAAGGCCCCAGTGCTACAGGATGGCTAAGCAAAACCAGCCAATACACTGTGCTAGGAGCTAACAGCTTTGTCTCTTCAGCAGCCACGCATCAGGTCGGCTGGGTTGTTCTCTGCAGCTCTACGTGTTCACCCAGTTGCACATTGAGGGCATTCAGGCAAGACTGAAACAACTCGACACCCTGAGCTTACAGAGGATGGCAGAAAACCAAGAGGAAGAGCCAGTTTAAACAAGTGTGCTGGGTATTTGCATCATTTGGGCAGCTTTAGCTGATTTAGCCAAGTCTTTCTGAAGGAGCTGCTCCACAGCCTAATACAGAAGCTTCTCTTCTCTATCCCAAAGCCCAACTACTAGATTTGAGATGCCTTCCACTGGTGTTTATCAGCACTCACACTGCTTGTCACTGGCTGCAGCAACCAACACCACGAATGCAACAGCCTTTTAGTTCTTATCACAACCCTTAAACCCCACGTGGCAATAACCAGCTATGGAATGGTTTGGCTCTAATCCTTCATCCCACTCTATCGCCTGCCACATCTCATCCTGCCTCCCTGGGTCTGGGCTGATTTTGCCTGGTTAATGCCTCAAGGCTGCTGTTTTCCTTGCCTTCCTTTCATGGTCTCTCTAACCAGATGTCCAGCTCCACTCCACTGGTGTTGGGCCATATCTTCACAACGGTGCCAAACTTGTTCTGAAACCAACTACGCCATCCAAAAGCTCAGCAAGTCTGAACCTAGACCATTTGCCTGCTAGCCTTATGCTAGCTTGGGCAGCTGCAGCCCTGCTACCAATGCCATGCTTTCACTTGGGTTTACAGCACTCAAATCGTGCGTTTCCACTTGCAGAGAGATTTCCTGACAGCAGAATTACTGCTAACACCTTCTGAGGCACGATCAGCACAGGTCAGTGTGTGGCAGTCACATTATTCCATCTCCTAGGAGAAGGAACTGATGAGAGAGGACATTTCTGGACACAAAAAAAGGTTAAAACTGAGGGAGTTTGGGATAGGGTTGGCTTATTTTTAACTCCATTTTCTTAGAGGCTTTAGGAACAAGCACTGGTTGATGAAATGCCATCGAGGCAGTGTATCTTCTAAACGGCTTCCCACCAGCCACTTGAAGGACAGGCTCTGTAAAGTGATCACTGAACTCACTGCATCCATTTCCCTTTGCAGCCAGTGTTGTCCTTTCCCACTCCAGGAAACAAAAGCCATGCTACCAAGAAAACTTTATCTGCTTTAGAGCTGATTCCTCATTGTAAGCATCAGCTCCAAAGGACCATACAGCTACCTCACAGGTGTGGGTATCGTATGATCAGACACCTGAATACATGGCCCCAAACAAGAGTCTGGAACCCTAGCTGTCTGGAGCTAGGCAAGCAACAAAAGCCAGGTGTTGGGAGATAAACAGGGCTTGCAAACCCAGGCATTACAATGAAGCACTGCTGCACAGAGCCAAGAAGTGATTAACTCTGCAGTAACAAGTTCCACCTACTTCCACCATGGGTATGGCATCAGTGAGCATGAGAGTGACAGCTAATCAAGGTGGAAGATCAAGCCAGCAAATTAACAAGGAAGGCAGTTTTAAAGTGTTTCTTTAAAGCACATCACATCCCATCCCAGTTTTTCTCAGTGTCCAGAGGGCTTCAACACTTACTTTCGAAGGATGATGACGGCTCTTCTCTCCTTGATGTCCTGTGGTCGAATACAGTGTGTGATTTCATCAGCTGCATAGCCACTGGCAACAAAAACAGAAAGCCACTGTGAGAAAACAGCCCCAACACCTCAGTATGGCCAATCATTCCCTAACTTCCAGCAGGAATTCCTCCTCCAAACACCATTCTCCCTTGCACACAGGAGCAAGACTTAAAAGAAGGAAGAAACTTCAAAGAAAGACGGTTGTTTTGGCTTTTTTCACTCAATTTCTTAGTGTATACCAGAGGAAACAGCCACCTGCCACAATGCTGTGTAATAAGACACGTAGGAAATGAGTTTATGGAGCACAAATTCAGCCAATTCAAGGATCAAAACTCAGCACACCGCTCCAAATGCATGTCCTCAGGGAAACCCACCTTTGTGGCTGAGATGTGCAGCACACCCAGCCGTGAAGGCATCCTGATTTGTTAGTCAAAGACAGGGTCAAGTCTCTCACCCCCATCACCTGGACACAGACGCTGCCATCTCAGCACCCTCATCCTCCCTGATGAGGCACAACCTCAGCCACGACACAAGCATCACCCCCCAGCGCTGCCCAAGCCCAACACAAGGCACACGGGGTAACCCTCACATCCAGACCTGCAAACAGAGCTGCGCTCCCAAAATCTCCCTGCCACAGGGTGAGACAGAGACCTGCATTGAGGGATCAAGCAGTTACATGGCCACACAGCAGCTGCACTCAGTAGGAGTGTTTTGCTCCCGCAGGAGCACATCTCATCACTCCCATGGATGCTAACAAGAGGTGGGCCTGCCCTCTACCTGCTGCTTGGAGTGTCTGCTCACAGCAGAGCCTTCTAGAGTCCAGGATGGGTTAAAGAGAAGTTAAATACCTTCAGAGCCCCCTAAAAGAGCTGAAAAGCACAGAAATACCTTTGAAAAGCACAGGGATACCTCTGGAAAGCACAGGAATACCTCTGAGAAGCACAGGAATGCCTTTAGAAAGCACAGGAATACCTTTGGAGGGACTTGGGTGAAGGCTGCTGAAGCCACACAAAGGTAGCACAACCCCACACTGCTTTAACCTGAAGCAGAAGCCACAGAGCCCACCGTCCCCATGAGGCTTTACCATGAAGGGGCTGCTGCACTGGCTCAGCAGCTTCCAGGTTAGCCCAGCACAGATCACACACAAGCCAGGACAGGACCAGGTTTGCTTTATCTGGTTAGATAACCCACCCACTCAGTGCGAAACACACCTCCAGGCCAGATTTACTGCTTGAGAAGGGAGTTAAAAGGCTAAGAGATGATCTGTTAATACAGGGGTTGATGTCCATTCCCCCCCCCCAGCCTCTGAGGCACCGCAGAGGACAGCAGCATTATAAGAAGGGGTTTATAATGATGCTCTATTATGTTCCAGGAACCTCTGCGTCAAGCTCCAGTGAATTCATTAATATCACCCATGTTAACATTCAACCCAGTGCATCCTCAGTGACACAACGAACATCAGGAAAAGGTCTATTCCAGCCCTGTGCTTTCCATGAGGAAATGTCAGCAAGGTTTGCACAGGCAAAACCAGGCAGAGAAATGGAAGAAAAAGCTTATTTGGTTCTATAACAATGTGGCAGCAGGAGCTTCTCACCCTCTGCCTGGCCTTGCTGCATCCTGATGATGTGCCAAGGGAGAGACATGGGACAAAACACCTGTAATGACATTGAGGGTCTACCCAGACGTTTCTCACCCAGAGAAGAAACCCAAAGCATGAAGGAAGAGACAGCTTGGGAAGGAAAACCCTAAACCTCTCTTCATGAGAACACCCAAGCATCAAGTCTCCAGCCTAAAGTGTTTTCCCAGAAGAACATGGGGAGGTGCAGGTGCCATCCACACACTCCCCCATCTCCCACCCCAGCTCCTCACCAACCTGTCACATCTCACACCCCCAGCTCCTGCCCGAGCCTTTTCCAGTCCAGAAGAGCTGCTGCTGAGCCACAACACAACTGATTCACATGGAGATGAAAGCAGGGGGTTCTGTATAAACATCACCCAAAAGGAGGCCCTGGAGCTCTGCATCTGATGGGATGTGTTTCCAGGGGCTGAGGACGGGCAGGGGGACCTCACACACAGGCCCATCACAGGGCTGAGCAGCTCAGGGGTTTAACTTGTGGTTTAGGGATGCTGCTGCCACAAACCATGGCTGTGGCACCAAGCAGCTCAAGCAGAGCTTGAACACATCTATTTATCTCCTCAGCACTGGCACACACACAGAACTTCCTCTGCACCAACAGCCTGTCCTGAGGGATCAGGCTTTTCTGGGAAAAGCATCTAATCCAGGCAGTTGTGGAGAGATTCCTGTGGCTGGGAAGACAGCGGGCTCATCCTCAGACTGCAACCAGCTCTGGTTACGCTACCCTGAGACAACAGGAGACACAAACATCACATTACCACTGCCACCGCTCTTACAACACAGAGCACTCCCCAGCTGCGGAAGGGAAGCCTGTACATCACACAAGCTCTGCAACACCCCCCCCTCCCCAGCTCAATTCCTTTTATCCAGCCTAAGCATTTGTCAAAGCACGTGTTCCCCAGATGAACAGGCAAATTCCTCCATCTCCTCCCCACTGCTTCCATCGATCGATGCTTATCAAATTATAGGTAGAAAAAGAAAACCCACAAACAAGGTCCAGACAGGACTGAAACCCCACTTAACTCTGCCTGAGAGAGCAGCACAGGGCGAGGAGCTCCTGCCACCTCCTTTTAGCCTGGCTGGCAGCGGGACAAACTTCCTGGTGCTGTGAGACAACAGGGGCTGGAGGGGGTTACCTCCTATAAGCCAAAACCGACAAGGAGGAGGTCATCCTCTCCTTTAAGTCAAGCCTACAAAGGCCAATCTTCACCACGGATGTGAAAAGAGAGGGAGAAGTGCTTTGCTGGAAGAGCAAAGGGCTCATTAGCAGGTGGTGGAATGGCTCAGCCTTTGTCCTGCTGGCAAAGGTGCTCAGCCCAGGGAGGAGAATCTCGCTTCCACCTCTTAAATGCAAAGTTCTTGAGATACGAATGCTGTCCAGTGAGTCTGGGGCAGGTTCACTGCTTGCAAACACCACAGGGTGGGCAAATAGAGCCAAGGGAGGGATATGGGGAAAGCCCCTCTGCATACTCCCTGCTGGGTAGGTGGAGGACAGCTTGGAACAGGCAGGAACAGGACAGACATGACCAGGGGACAGCCTGGGACCGATGTGAGGGCACAGAGAAGAGATCCAACAGCTTTCTTTAGATCCTCACGGCTTCCACACGGTAACCAAAGCCATGTGGCTGCACTGCTGGCAGCAACCACTGCCCCAGCAGCACTGGAATCACAGACATTACAAGCATGCCATTTCTATCTGCGCCGTTTCCCTATCTCCAGGGCAACTGCCTTCAGGAACTGTTTACTGAGAGGAGAACAAGCCAAGTTTGGGGAGTTGACTTTAACAAGAGCAAGGGCTGGATTTGGGATATAGACCCCTGAGAGCCTCCTGAGGGTCTGCACCTCTTCCTCAATTGCCAGGGTTAGAAGGGAAGAGCTGAGTCGAGGAACTCTTATCCAGCCAGGATCATATCACCACAGAACAATCACTTTGGCAGAATCTCTCTTAAGTGAGTGCTAAGTATCTGCTAACTGCAGTACCAAAATTGAAATAATCCCTGTTTTAAAGGCTATTATTTGCTGGAGAGCAGAACTTCTAACCAGGATTAAGCTAAGGAATAAACGGCCTGCGGTGGGGCAGAAAGCAACCCTTCTGTTTGGAAGGAAAACAAGCTCTCTTGGTTTGATTTGTACCACTGCTTCAGTTAATAAACTGATTACAGCACCCAGGTGACCTGGCCAACAACCCAAACACACAGGCCTGGGAGACACCCTCTCCAAGCCCTGAGCCCTGAGTCAGCTGCCTCTTCCCGGAAGTTACAGAGGGAAAAGTGAGGATACGGCATAAGAAAACATGAGGTTCCTGGTCCTGGAGCAGAGCAAAGCACCTCTCCTGCTCCACTGCAAGTCCTGATCCTGCTTTGGATGTAAAGCCATGAGTTTTCCTAGCGGCTTTGCCTGCAAGACTCCAGAGTGAGCCTGCACTAACAGCTCTGCCAGCATGCTTCTCAGCAAGGAAACGCTCTCCCTGTCCTTAGCAAAAGACCTCTGGCTCTGAAAGGAAGGACAAGCATTCACCCCAGGCCTGCCAGGGAATGGCAGCACAAGGGCTCACCTCACCAGCAGGAAACCGAGGGTGGAAACGTCCTCAGCGCCATTCCCGCTTCCCTCCCTAATCCACACAAGTTACCTAACGCCGGGGGTACCCCATGGATGAGTTCACGCTTGTGCAGCTTCTCCAAGAGGGAAGAGATGCGAGAGCTCAACATTTATTATTGATGCCCCCAGTCAGCGGATGAGGCTGTGTGGATGTGGGGGGAAGAATTCCTTCCCGAACCCTGCGGCGATCACTTTACAAGCCAATGGAAGGGATTGTGTTACTGCTTGGGAGCCCTGAAAACCGACCTGGACCTTCACCAACCCCAAACCTAAAACCTCAAATGGGGATACCATAGGTAGCTCTGCCCTGCTGGCAGAGGCTGGGTGATCCCTGCTCCTGGCAGGGAGCGCTCTGACCTTCAGGAACATGAGGGGTTGGTGCTCACGGAGTTAAGCAGCCCCAGTGCTGGGCTTTGAGACGCACTCCCTAAGACCAGGACACCAGTGGGTCCGTACGTACCAGCTCCACACAATCCTGCCTGTCCCTGTCCCTTTACCTGCCTGCCCAGCAGAGTTTCCCAGTGTCAATCCCAGCTTTACCACCGACTGCCTGCATGACCTTGGGCAGGTCATTTCACCTCCACAGCTCTTCCTTTGCTTGCATGAACGCACAGTAAAAGCCTTCCTTGTGCCCGTGACCCGTCACGCTTCCAAGCAACGGTCCCACAGGGCTCTCCCATCTCCCCATTGGCATCAGGCAGGAGAGGGTTCAGTATTCCCAGTTTAGGGACTGGGAGAACGAGGCCATTCACACCTCCTCCTCTCCACGCTTAAGGTCAGGTCGGGAAGGCATGGCCGAGCTAAGAATAGACCCAGGAGCCCAATCCCAACCAGCTGCTCCGCTCTGACCGCTCATGGGCAGAGGATCCATTTTGTGTCTCGATGTGTTATTTTAACCACTGGCAGGCAAGGAGCAGCTCCAAAAGTGGCAGGACTCCCCTTAAACCTTATGGAGAGGGCACCCTTCATCCCTAAAACCCCCATCCCCTCCAAACCCTTCCGATACCCCTTCCACCAACACCCTGCATGCTTTCAGGCGGGTGAGACCAAGCCCGAGCCGTGCATCCGCGTGCCTCACGAGGAGCATTACACAACCGAGCCCCAAGCACGTTAACGGGAAGCCTTGAGGGCGAGTTACCTGAGCACCGTGACGCTTCCCCTCTTGACGGGCAGGAAGAGAACGGGCTCCGAGACCCTGATGGGTTTGAACTGGAATTTACACCCGAAGCAAAGCGCCGAGTCGCTGAAGAAGGAGACGGAGACGATGGGCCTCTCAAAGATATGGATGGGGTCCACGTGGGAGACAATGCATCCCCCCGGCTGGTAGTCGTTGATGACAGCACTGTTCACAAAGCCCTCGGGAATCACCCGGTGCTCCACCAGCTTCCTGATCACCAGGTCGTGCACCCACTCGGGGATAGCATCCACCTCTCCCCTCGGATACAGGCGCTCCTGCCCGGGGCCTCGTCTCTGCAGCTGAGACCCATAGGTATAACCCTCCCCGAAGAAATACTTGTTCCGCAGCGGGGCCCGATCCACCGTGTGCTCCTTATAGAGCCCCTTCTCCGCCCGGGACACCACGTCCTCGATGCGAGCCTCGATCTTGGCGCACTCCTCGGCGCTGAAGAGGCGAAGCTGGCGGATGCCGCTCTTCACTTTCCGAGCTTCTTCTTCCTCCTTCTGCTCCTCGTAGTCGCTGGGCTCGGAGCCGGAATCCTCCTGGTGCCGCCGCTTGCGATCGTAAAGGGGGGGGTCGGGGGGTTCCCGTGCGAGACCTCCTCCTCCTCCGCCGCCTCCACCGCTCCCTTTGTGGCCGTCCCGGTAGGGCATCATGGACTTGAGCTTCTCCCGCAGGTCCGTGTAGCCGGTGCCGGCCATAGTGCGTCCGCAGCCCCCGCCTCTATCGATCCCGGCGCTGCAGGCGGCGGCGGGCGGCGGCGGGGGACGCGCAGCTGCTATTCATGGCACCCGCCGCCCTGCGGGAAGAGCCCCGGAGGGACGGGGAGGTGAGGACCGGGGGAGGTGAGAAACGGGAGCAATCAACCCCCCCCCCGCCATATCGCGACTTGTTCCACACACACACACCCCCCACCCCCCCCATCAACCGCGATACGGGACCCAGCTCCCGCCCTCCCACCGCGACGGGGTCCGGGGTGGGGGGGGGAAGGACGGGAGGCCCGAGCGGACGCCACACTCACGGCTGGGCCCGGGGCTGGCGCGGACAATGCTGCCGGTACCGGCGGCGGCGCTCACGCGGCGGCCGGGCCTGGCACATGCCCAGCGGCGGCCCCGGCGCTGCCCGCTCCCGTGGCGCTGCGCATGGCGGGGAGAAGAGAACGAGGAACGAGGAGGAAGGGGATGGAAGGGGAGGACACCGGAGCCGGTGCCGGGCCCGGTGCGGGGGTCGGCGGCCACCGGGGTCTGTCGCGGCCCTTCCCGCGGCGCGCTACGTCACCAGGAGCCAGCCCGACATCCCGGAGTAGGCCCCGCCCCTGCCGCGCACGCGCCCCCTCACGCCGAAGGCCACGCCCCCAACCGCTCCGCGTGTGCGCGCACGCACGCACGTACGTGCAGCGCCGCCGCCATCGCCGCGCGGAGTAACCGGTAACCGGCGGCCACGCCCCCCCCCTCCCCTCCCCTCCTCGAGATTGGCGCGGGGCGGGTGAGGGGGTGTGGGCGGCGGGGCGCTATCGCCCCCTGGCGGTCGGGAGGAATGGGATGGGATTGGAGGGTTAACCGGGGCATCAGAGGGATTCCTGCATCCCGGCAACTGGGAATGTCCTGGGGGGATGTGGGGAGAATGGGGCCGGGGGACGGTGAGGGAAAGGGAATGGGGGGAGTGAGGCACTGGGATTGGGGAAAGTGAGGCACTGGGAATGGGGGAACTGAGGTACCGGGAATGGGAAAACTGAGGCACAGGAATGGGGAAACTGAGGCACCGGGAATGAGGGAAGTGAGGCACCGGGAATGAAGGAAGTGAGGCACCGGGAATGGAGAAAGTGAGGCACTGGGACTGGGAAACTGAGGCACTGGGAATGGGGCAACTGAGGCACTGGGAATGAGGGAAGTGAGGCACTGGGAATGAGGAAACTGAGGCACAGGGGCAGCAGCGAGTGCAGGACAAGCCATGGACAGCAAGTCAGGCTGGGCTCATGGACGTGTATAAAACCCTAAGGACAACAGTGCAGGGGAGACAGGGAACAGCATCCATGGTGGGATTCCATGGCGGGGTCCATGGCGAGCTCCATGTGGGTCCCATGGTGGTGGTCCATGGTGGGTCCCATAGTGGTGGTCCACGGTTGTTGCCATGGTGGGTTCCATGATGAGATCCATATGGGTCCCATGGTGGGTTCCGTGGTTGATTCCATGTGATCCATGGCGTGCTCAGAGCAGGGTGATCTCACTGGGCGGCAGCGTCAGCCTCTTCTCCCGTGCTCCCAACAACCTCTCCATGTGCGCGGCCACCACTCGGCACAGCTCCAGGCCCTGCCGGAGGGGTCCGCAACCATTGGTGGCCCTACCACCGCCATGGGACCCCCACCGCGGATGCTCCCCGAGCATCCCCAACCTGCTCCAGCTGCAGCTGGGTGATGCCCTGCGCCTGGAGGTCGCCCAGGGTGATCTCCACATAGGGGTAGCTGGACCCGGCCGTCGGGCGCTGTGTCCGTGTGGATTGGATCTCCTTCAGTGAGAACTTGGCGATGGGCTCCTGACGAAGGGGACAAGGGGGTGGTCCATGTGCCCCAAGGGGACCGAGGACCGGAGGATGCTGGTGATGCAGCCCCCAATGCGCTGATGGAGCTAAACCTGCTTTGGAGAGGGCTATCACCGCCTCCCACCATCCCACCCCATGATGCCACAGGCTCTGTCCCTGCTGGGATGGGGACAGGAGCAGGGGGTGACCCCCCACCCCAAGCCCCCCACCTACGTGGGTCTCCTTGCTGAGGAAGTTGAGGCCGTTCTGGTTGACGGCCAGGATGCAGGGGGAGACGATGGCGTTGTTGCTGCAGCTCTGGATGTAGAAGAAGGATGAGCCGAACATGGGGTAGGCGCTCAGCAGCCCTGCGGGGTGGAGGACGGGGTCTCAGTGCCCATCACCGCCCCGTCCTGCCTGGCTCTGCTGAGGGACCAAACCAACCCCATGCATGGTAGGAGCTGGGTGGGCTCCCAGAGCCTGGCGCTGAACCAGGACCAAGATTGGACCCAGGAGCAATCAAGGGGGCCTGTTGCAGCCTGATGGGAAAGTGGGTGGCCAGGCAGCCTGCTCTGTCCTGCTGCTGTGGTTGTGCTGTCCGTGTGCAGCATCCCACTGGCCATGCAGCACCCCTGGCACCATGCAGGGCCCATCCCAGGCTCCCAGAGTATGACATCCCAGCAGCATCTCATCTTCATCAGCATCACCTCCTGGGCATCCCCATCATCATCATTCCATCACATCCTCAGCAGCACCACAACCCCAGCAGCCTTGCATCCCCAGCAGGACTGCATCTCCAGCAGCACTGCATCCTCATTAGCACATATCCTCATTAGCATCACATCCCCACTAGCATCACATCCCCCTGGCTCCATCATGCTCCTGCTCACCCAGGAACTGTGCCCTGGCCTGGTGGGCGCTGAGCGCCTGCGCTTGCTGCATGTGCTGGGTCACCATATGGAGCCAGGATTGAGGCTTCAGCAGGCGAAAGAGCTGTGGTGGGACATAATCCTGCACCTCCCGCCTGCAGGGAGCTGGGGGTCAGGCTTGGAGGGGGGGGCCTGCACCCCATGGGATGCACCCCACAACCCAGACCCTCCATTCCCAGCCATACGCAGTGGGGAGGTGATGGTGGTCCTTGGCTCGGTGCTGGAGAGCGGCCAGCTTGGCCACGTGTGGGAAGTGCTGCTCCCCCGGCCTGGCGGGCGGCAGGACAGTGAACAGCCCCTTGAGGTAGTCAGGGAGGACCTGGAGGGGACAGAGAACAGGGGCACGGCTTGGGGATGGGGCACACTCCATGGCAGGGGGACAGGGATGTGGTCCTGGTGGGGGGGCCCGACCTGGTTGTAGTGCACGGTGACATAGAGCTCGTTGTCAAACTTGAGGGGCTGCCCCCAGACCACGCGGCGGCACCAGAAGGTGTAGCTGGAGTCCCGGCGCTCCGTCTCGGCGGCCACATCCAGCACGTATTCCCGGCGGGTCAGCGGCCGCACGCTCTGCCCTGCGCCACCCCGGCAGATGAGCACCATGCACAGCATCCTTCATGCACAGCATCCTCCATGCACGGTACCCACCATGCACAGCATCCTCCATGCACAGCATCCTCCATGCACAGCATCCTCCATGCGCAGCATCCACCATGCACAGCATCCTCCATGCACAGCATCCTCCATGCACAGCATCCTTTATGCACAGCATCCTCCATGCACAGCATCCTCCATGCACAGCATCCTCCATGCACAGCATCCTCCATGCACAGCATCTTCCATGCACAGCATCTACCATGCACGGTACCCACCATGCACAGCATCCTCCATGCACAGCATCTTCCATGCACAGCATCCTTCATGCACAGCATCCTCCATGCACAGCATCCTCCATGCACAGCATCCTCCTCACAGGTCCTCCATGCACAGCATCCTCCATGCACAGCATCTACCATGCACGGTACCCACCATGCACAGCATCCTCCATGCACAGCATCCTCCATGCACAGCATCCACCATCCACAGCATCCTCCATGCACAGCATCTACCATGCACAGCATCCTCCATGCACAGCATCCTCCATGCACAGCATCTACCATGCACGGTACCCACCATGCACAGCATCCTCCATGCACAGCATCTACCATGCACAGCATCCTCCATGCACAGCATCCTCCATGCACAGCATCCTCCATGCACAGCATCTACCATCTCCTGCACAGCATCCACCATGCACGGTATCCACCATGCACAGCATCCTCCATGCACAGCATCCTCCGTGCACAGCATCCTCCGTGCACAACATCCACCATGCATGGTATCCACCATGCACAGCATCCTCCATGCACAGCATCCTCCGTGCACAGCATCCACCATGCACGGTATCCACCATGCACAGCATCCTCCATGCACAGCATCCTCCATGCACAGCATCCTCCATGCACAGCATCCACCATGCACAGTACCCACCATGCACAGCATCCTCCATGCACAGCATCCTCCGTGCAAAACATCCACCATGCACAGTACCCACCATGCACAGCATCCTCCATGCACAGCATCCTCCATGCATGGTACCCTTCATGCACAGCATCCTCTCATGCACAACATTCTCCATGCATCATACCTACCATACGTGGCATCCACCATGCACAGCACCCACTATACACAGTATCCACCATACACGGTACCCATCACACGTGGTACCCATCACACACAGCCATCCTTTCCCCACCAGCCCCTCACCTCTGTCGGTCACCACGAAGAGGATGTACTCCTCAAAAGCCTCTGGGTGCTGCAGCCCCATCTCACAGCACAGCTCCTCGATCACATCCAGAGCCACCTGCGTATGGGGACAAGGAGGCTGAGATGCTGCCATGTCCCCCTGCCACACTCAGGGCCACCAGCAGCTCCTGCACCAAGGCTCATCCCATGTTGCTCCCCAGGGAAGAAGAGAACAACATCCCCCAGCTCATCACAGCCAAGGGGTGAAGCCCTCCCCACATCTACACCCCCAAAGCACCCACAAATGGGGGGTCCCTCTGTATGTGGGGTACACAGAGCTTTTTGCCCCCTCTAACTCACCGAGCACGTCTTGATCTTGAGGTGCCTCTCAATGCCACCAGGCAGGAGGAAGAGCTGGCGCTTGGCACTGCGTCCAGCCTGCATGGGGGGACACATTGGGGTGCGGGGGGGGGGATCTTTGCCAAGCAAGACCCTAAAGGATGCTCTGAATCCCCAAGCTATCCCAGGGGACCATCCCATGGGGATCATCCTGTATCTCGCCTGTCTTTCCTGGGTGAGGCATTGTGCCCTTCACACCACATCCGCAGAGCTGCATCCCTACTGGGATGCTCAAGGTACCCCCAAAGAGAGACCAGAAAGGACCATGATCCCCAGCAAGGGGCCATCAGCCCAGCTCTAGTGTCTGGGGGGAGATCCTAAGCCCATGGGAGGACCTGGAAGCTCTGGGGCTGATCTCAAGCTGGCATCATCCCTGCCCTGCACCCCATATGCACCCATAAGCACCCATCCTCACCACCATGGCCCTGAGCTCCGTGCTGCTGGGGAAGAGGCTGCGGCCACCAAACTGCAGGGTCTTCTGCAGGTTCAGCTCGCAGGCTTTGGCGATGCCTGGCGGGGACAGGGACCGGGATGAGGGATGGAGCTGAGCCCTGTGCATCCCACACCCTGTGGCATCCACAGCCCCTACCATGGAACGGCAGCTCCGGGTGCCTGCTAGCATCCTGCAGGAAGGCCAGCAGGAAGGGCCTGAGCACCTCGGAGCACTTGTAGTAAGCAGCGAGGATGTAGAGCAGCCTCCAGCCCTTCTGGCAGCTATCCCTGTGGGAAGGGTGAGGATGCCCATGGAGGCAATGCGAGCTTGGGGTCCCCACATGTCCCCAGGCAAGTGTCCCCAGTGCCAGGCTGTGTTGCCCCAGCGGGGATGATGGATGGCACAGGATCAGGGATGATGGATGGCCGGGAGCAGGGATGATGGATGGCATGGGATGAGGGATGATGGATGGCATGGGAGCAGGGACTCACGGCTTGGAGCTGCTGTTGTTGGTGATCTGCTTCACAACCTGGCAGTAGATCTCATCCCGCAGGACCTCGTGCTCTGCACAGAGCTGGGGACAGGCACAGCTGCCACCCCCTGCTCAGGGCACCCCCAGCACCCAGCACCCCACACAGGGGATTTACCCTGAGGATGGTGCAGACGCTGTCCAGCTCCGTCTGCCCTCGCAGGGGGTGGTCGCCCATGAACTTCATCACGGCTGGGGACAAAGCCACGCAGTGGTACTGCTCATCCCATCCCTTCTACAGGGATGTGGTCCCCTGGGTGCAGGGAACATCCTGGACCCCTCCAGGCCACCCCATCCTGGTCCTGCTCCCACCCTTCTCCGAGGATAGGGCATGGTGCCACTTGCCTACCTTGGAACGCCTCCGTGGCCAGTTTGCTGATGCTACCATCCACAAATTCAATGAGTGACTCCTGGATGGGGGTCTAAGGAGGGAGAGCATCAGCAACCGGGAGCAACCAGAAGGACGGGGTGTGCATTGGGGTGTCATTCACAGAGCCCCCGAGCCCACCAGGGTGACCTGCAAGGGACAGCAAGGCAGGGACACCCCGCTTGCCCTTACCTTGCTGAATGTCAGCATCTCCAGCACATTGGGCACATCCCTTTTGGCCTTCATCCCACAGGGTTCCCTGGGAGAGGGATGAAGGAGCAGATGGGCACGGATGCCTCGGATTCAGGGCATCCCCATCCCACTGCTGAGTGCTCACATTGCCTCCCCATGCCGTGCTGCACGGAAGTACTGCCTGGCAAAGGCCAGCATGGGGCAGGTCCCTGCGCTGACACCAAGCTTCTCGCTGCTGTCCCCCTCTGCTGTGCTGGCCGGGGATGCCTGTGGGGCAGAGCAATGGGTACCAGGCACATCCAGCCCCGTGCATCAACAGCCCCGCGCCAGCACCCACCTCGCTTTTGCGGTCCAGCTCCTGCGCCACGGCGGTGGAGGCCACGGCCACAGCCACGGCTGCTGAAGCCACCACCTTGCCCTGCTTGTCCCTGGGCTCCTCTTTCCTCTCCGCTGGCAAATGGACAAAGTCCGGGGCTGCGACGGGCTGGACGTATTCAGCAGGGAAGAGACCCGACCTGCTGTGGATGGCACCGAACTTCCACCCTGCAATGGGCGGGCGTGCGGATGGATCCAGGCTGGCAGCTCCACAAAGCCCCTGTCTGTTCCCTCCTGCCCCTTTGCACCCCAAGCCCTTTCCAAGGGGTCTGGCTGCAGGATTTGGGTGGAAAAACTGATGTTGCTCAATGGAAAGGAAGGGAGAAGGGGCCACAAAGGCCAATTGTAGCTGGGATGTGGGGCAGCGTGGGAACCGCAGCGGAGCATCCCCCTGCATCAGGTTGGTACCAAAAAGAGCCCAACCCATCCTGCTGAGGGGTGGCAGAGGCAGGATCCTGCCCCATACCCCAGCCCCAGGGCAGTGTATGCACACCAGGGACATGCATGGGGACAGCACAGCACCCACCAAAGTCCTGGGTGCCCGTCTTCAGCTCCTCCAGGTACATCACCTTCTTGCGGACCACGCAGCCGTAGTAGTGGTCTGTGGGGACACCATGGGGTGTCATCAAGGCATATCCACATCCAGGATGCAGAACCCATCAGTCCTGCCACCCGTGTGCCCCACACTGCGGGTGTTTTGGCATGGGGGACCACTCACCTCTCTCAGGATGCTTCAGTGGCTGCAGGTGGATGATGTCCCCTTTGTGGAAGCTGAGCTGGCCCTTGTCCTCCGGGCTGTAGCTCCTCACAGCCACCACGTACTGGGAGTCCTGGGTACAGCCCATGCACGCAGGCACACGCACACACACACATGTACACGCATGTACATCCCATCCCACCCAGCACCCACAGCCACAGCCCCACCGCAGGGTACCCACCATCACCCCACGCATGGTCCCATTTGCAGGGCACACACACACACACACCTTCCTGAGCTCCGTGATGAAGTGGTCAACCATAGCCTTGACCTGGGGGGCTTTGGGGGAGAACAGGATGAGCTTCTCACTGCGCAGGTTGAGCTCCAGCATGTTCCTGGATGGGGTGGTCACGAACAGCACATCGGCATAGCTGGGGAGGATGAAGGGATGCTGAAGCACCCGGTACCCGCAGCATCCATCGCACCTGGACCATGGGGGTCCTTGCTCTTACCCGTATGCCCTCAGCACCCTCAGCTGCTCCCCGGCCACATTGGTGCCCTTCACCACCCGCAGCAGCTTGACACCAGTGTGGGACACAGCCAGGATCTGCACACCCGTCCCCACGCTGCCCTGTGGGGTGGGACCCGGCCTCAGCGTGGGGCACGGGCATGGGGTGCCCCCAACACTGGCCTGCCCCATGGCTGCACCCTCACCGTGGCGGGGAAGAGGCGAGAGAAATAGACATCGCAGGCATCGCGGGCGTCAGCGATGATCTCCCTCTTGACGCTCTCAGTGGCCACGGGGCTGAAGGAGTCCAGTTTGTTTTCCGCTGTGGGAGAAATAGCAACTGGTGGGTATTCATCATATACTATATATATATACACCATAGTCTCATACTATATATATATAGTATACACCCCAGCATATATATATGTGTGTGTGTGTATATATATATATACCCCAGGGAGGATTCAGACACAGGTTCACAGCAGGAGTGGGGATGCTCATCCCCTTCCCAACCCTGGCAGGACCATGCTGTCGCCCCTGCTGCATCGTTATCCTAATGCAGGAAACCTGGCTGAGACCCGACTCAACTCATGGCTTTGCAGAGCACTAAATCATAGAATCAGGGAATGGTTTGGGTTGGAAGGGACCTTAAAGCTCATCCACAGCTCATCACCCCTTGTCCTACCACTACAGTCCGTAATGAAGGCTCCCTCTCCAGCATCCCTGTATCACAGGGGTTCATTGCATTTGGAGGATGCACAGGAGGATTAATGGTGTGAGCCCCCCAGGTTTGGACCCCTATAAGCATCCTTGTCCCCCCCCCAGGCTGGGAGCATCAGGACCCAGGTTACCGAAGAGGGATTTCAGTCGGAGCCGCTCCTCCTGGCTGAGTCGGATGCAGGTGTTGGAGAGCACATCATTGAAGATCTGGGGAGCAGGTGAGGAGCAGTGGGGCTCTGTGCACCCCCAGCCCCATTACCCCGCCTGCTCCCATGCCTTGGGGTAACCAACAGGGCCCCCCTGCTCCTCTATGGCAGCTCCGCATGGGGACGGATGCAGTGGGATGAGTGAACCATCACCCCAGTGATATGATGGGATGCTCCAGCTCCCATGGGACCTCACCTGCCTGAAGATGAGGTCGAGCAGCAATGGGTTGTTGATGCTGTCCTTGGGGTAGAAAACCTGCCAGGAGGGACACCAGCATCACCATCATCACCCCAAACTTAGCGACAAAACCCCTTTATCCCCACAGCACTCCCACACCATCCTGTCCTCATCCCTGTCCCCTCCCTGCACCTCCTTCCGCATGTAGATTTTCCAGGGCACGTTGTGGTAGGTGTAGAAGTCCTCGCTGTAGCTCCGGTGCAGCTGGGTCTGGACCTGCTGCGCCTCGGATGGGAGCTCCCGTGACACAAAGACTGGAAAGGGATGGGAAGTCCTGCATATCCCTGAGGGAATCACCAGTAGTCCCTCTCCACAAGGGGAAAAGGGGCCCAGGAGGGTTTATCCGGACACAGAGATCATCCCATGAGGATGCTGTAGAGCTGGACCCCCCTCCCCTGCAGTACCTGGGGACCGGGTGGCCACTGCACGCCTCGTTGGTGGTCGCAGTGGGTACCTGCTGCTGGTGACCGGCTTCACCGTGGCCACCACCTCCTTGGGCCCCTGCGAGGCAGAGTCACTGCGGTTGGGGATGGTGACCCCAACCCCCAGCCTGGTGTGGGGTGCGTGGGGTGGCTGCAGCCCTACCGCAGCCACTGGCACTGGGGGTGCTGAGAGCTGCTCCTTCAGGATCTGCATGGCTTCCTCATGGGGGTCCTGCTTCTTCCCAAAGAGCTTGCTGTGGAGACAGTACCTCACATTGCCTGCACCCCAGCATCACCTGCACCCCAGCATCACCCGCACCCCAGCATCACCGGTATCCCAGCATCACTTGCACCACAGCATCACCTGTATCCCAGCATTACCTGTACCCCAGCATCACCTGCATCCCAGCATCACTGGCACCCCAGCATCACTTGCACCCCAGCATCACCTGCACCCCAGCATCACCTGTATCCCAGCATCACCTGCACCCCAGCATCAGCTGCACCCAAGCATCACCTGTACCCCAGCATTACCTGTACCCCAGCATCACCTGTATCCGGCATCACTTACCTGGCATCACCCACCCCCATCACTGACCCCAGCATCACCTGTACCCCAGCATCACCTGTATCTCAGCATCACCTGCACCGCAGCATCACCTGTATCCCAGCATTACCTGCACCGCAGCATCACCTGCACCCCAGCATCACCGGCACCCCAGCATCACCTGCACCCCAGCATCACCCCAGCATCACTGACCCAGCATCACCTGCACCAGCATCTGCACCCAGATCCCTGACCCACATACCTGTACCCAGCATCACCTGTATCCAGGCATCACCTCTACCTGGCATCACCTGCATGCCCAGCATTGCCTGCATCCCAGCACATGCACCCACATGCAGAGGGGCTGGTGTCTCTCTGGGGCGCAGGGGGTACCTGTGGGGCTGGGATCCCCGTGGGGCCGGCTGGCACTGCCGGATGATGTTCCGGATGTCGTGTGTGGGCCGCGGGAAGTGCTCCGAGTTGAGCCGGGAATTCCGCACCAGCTCTCCCGGCCACCGCCGGCCCACAGGGGCTATGGGGCCAAGCACATGGCTCAGGGGCTCACTGCTGGGGCCGACATGAGCCCCCATTGACACCCCATTGCGCTGGACCCCTTACCTGCTTTCTGCATGTAGGGCCGGGGCTGGGGGGGGCGGGATGGTGTCCCATCCGCTGCTCTGCCCTGCGAGGGACACCCCACTGTGAGCATCCGGAACCCCCTGCTGCCCCCAGCCCCACAGAGCTGCCCAGGAGAGCTGTGGGGCAGGACCTGATCCCTCCCGGACCCCCAGCTCTGCCCCACTGACCGGTGTCTGGTTGACGTCTGCCCGGTGCTGTGAGGATGGGGCTGGCTCCGTGCCTGTGATGCCAAAAGGGTGTCCTGTACCCCCCAAACCAGGGCTATGGGGTGCAGGGATGACCCCACAGCAGGGATCAGGAGGGGAAACCGAGGCAGGGAGCTGACTGAGGGTGCTCACCTCTTGGCTGCTGTGTCTCTGCAGGCACTGGGGATCTGCTGTGCTTGGTATCCCCATCCCCTCCTCCTGCACCACCTCTTCCCTTCATCCTCTGTGTGACAGCAGCCGGCTTCTCCAGCTCCTGGGGGACAATGGGATGGATGGATGGATGGATGGATGGGTGGAGGGATGAGTGGATGGATGGATGGGTGGGTGGATGGATGGACAGATGGATGGATGGATGGGTGGGTGGATGGATGGACAGATGGATGGATGGATGGGTGGATGGATGGATGGATGGATGGGTGGATGGATGGATGGATGGATGGGTGGACGGATAGGTGGATGGATAGATGGATGAGTGGGTGGATGGATGGATGGATGGATGGATGGATGGATGGAGGTCAAGCCAACTGCACCCCCAAAATGCTAGACTCCCTCTCACCCCATTGCCATAGGAGAGCACAGGGTCGAAGAGGCTGTCCAGGTACCGGTCCAGACCCTTCTGGCTGCGCGGCTCCCCGAATTCCCCATCTCCTGGGGGACAAGCAGGGATGAGCTGTCAGCAGCAGAGCTTCCCCAGCATGGTCCCACCGTGGGTCGGGGGGCGATGCCCTACCATGGGGGTGGTACACCTCTGTGGATGGCAGCGTTGGGGCTTTCACAGCTGGAGGAGGGGGCACTTCATCCAAATCCAAGCCGTGTCCCAACACCCTGCAGAGGGAGAGGATGCGCTCATTGTGCACCCATTGGGTACCGCCTCACCACCAGGACCCCATCCCATGCCTCTGCCGGCACCCATCCAGCGGGGCACCCATCCCTGCCCGGGTACCTACGCCCGGCTGTCCCCGCCGTGGCTCTCGGCTCCATCCCACGCCACCAGGAAGCAGGACTTCTGCTTGGGGAAGCCGCGGAGCAGCTCGAGGTCGGAGATGAGGTCCAGGACATAGTCATGACCAGCCAGCTCGGCCCATTGGGCACCAGCCTTCATGGCCACGGACCAGCCACGCCAGCCCTCCACCAGCCCCCTGCCAACAGCGGGATGGGGATGGGAGTCCAGCAGTGCCCCGGCTCCATGGGGACACCATGGACATCCCAGGTCCAAGATCCTGGCGTCACCCAAAGTGATGCTGAGCCCCATGGAACGGGTGGGTACCGAGCTGGTGGGTACCTGTGCTTCAGGACATCCCCTGCCAGGTCCTCGCCTGTGGCCCAGGAGTGCACAGGGCAGGAGAACTGGTCACCTGGGGAAGGATGGGGTGGGATGGGATGTGAGCAGGACCCACCAGTGCCCCCCTGCCCCAAACTGGGTCTGACCCTCCCTGCCGCATGCCCCAGCCCCACGCCACCAGCACCATTGAAGCAGTGCAGGTCCAGCGCCATGCTGGCTTGGTGCCGGTTCGCCGTCCACTCCAGCAGTGATGGGGGAAAGGCTCGGGCGGCCGCGGCGCCCAGTTGGGACCGGGCCATGGCGTGCATCAGCTTGCGCTGGCACACCGGCTTGTAGCCAGCGAAGGCGTAGTCAGAGACGAACCTGGGGGCAAGGGAGGAGGGATGTGGGCTCATCCGTAGGCACATGGGGCAGGCTGGCCCCAGGGACCACAGAGGCACTAAGAGCATCCTGGGCATATATTCCAAGCTGGCCCCCAAGGACCATGGAGAGACCTCAGAGCATCCCCAATGGACCTGCATGGCATCCCTGGGCACATGCATCAGGCTGGCCCCAAGGGACCACAAAGGGACTATATCACTGGAGGGATCTCAGCAGCATCCTAAGCGTATATTCCAAGGTGGCCAGGGGGATCCTGGAGGGAGCTGAGCATAATCCCTGGCCCCAGAGATCGTGGAGTGACTTCAGAGCATCCTCACTGGGACCTGGGCAGCATCCTCAGGCACATGTGTCAGGCTGGCCCCAGAGGACCACAGGACAGACTAAGAGCATTCCTGGAGGGATCTTGGCAGCATAATGTGTGCTAGGCCAGACAAAGGGATCCTAGAGGGACCTGAGCATAACCACTGGCCACATGTGCCAGGCTGGCCATAGGGGACCACAGAGGGACTAAGAGCATCCCTGGAGGGATCTCAGCAGCATCCTCGGCCAACCTGGCCTCGAAGACCATGGATGGACCTCAGAGCATCCCCAGCTTGACCCGGGCAGCATCCTCAGCCACGTGGACCAGGGAACCCCAGCAGCATCCCCAAGGATCCCAGCCAGCCCCAGCGCCCACCCCGCTCCCCATCCCCATCTCACTTGAGCAGGTACTTGTCGAAGGCGGCCGAGGGGGGGAAGGCGCTGAGGCAGGCGGCCAGCAGCAGCCAGCCCCGCTCCTCGTTGTTGACGTTGGTGTTGCGCCAGACCTGGTTGGCCGCTTGGGCCAGGAGCTCGTCCCGCAGCCCCGGCGCCGACAGCCCCTTCTGCACGATGTAGTTGCCAAAGAGGGTCTCCTGCGAGCCTCCCAGCGCTGGGTCCCCCATGAACCGCAGGATCTGCGAGGGGACAGCGAGGTCCTTCCCCCTCCGGCCCCAGGCAGGGAGCAGGCAGGAGACCACGGTGATGGACCCTGCGCCATCCCACCTACCAGCTGGAACAGGCTCAGCGCCTCGTGGCGCAGCTCCTCATCCAGCCGGGTGAGAGGAGCCTTCAATGGGGCTGTCAGCATCCCGAACGCTGGTTCCTGCGGTGACACCCGCACCCATGGCTACCCCAGCCCTGGGGACAGGCTCAGGCTATGAGGGACCAGCCCCATGGTGCTGAGCATGGGGTTGATGCTGGATGGGGATGACGGGGCTGCAAAAGGGCTGGGGTGCAGGATGGGGCCGGCAGCATCCCAGCAGCGGTTTGGGATGGGCTCAGTGGCACCAGGGATGCTGGGAGCAGGGTCCGGCCCCGGCGCTGTCATTTGGGATGCTGGGAAACACACGGCAAAAATAGGGAGGCGAGGAGGAGGGAGGAAAAGAGACCAGGGATGGGGCTGGGATCCCGGGAACAAAGCGACCTGGTCTCCCGCCCCAGCGTTTCCGGATCTGCCCCGCGTCGGGCGTCCAGGAGGGCTCGGCGGGTGTCTCTGCACAGCCTCAGCGGGGTCCCCCCGGGCTCTGGAGACGACAGGAACCCACGGGGAGGGAGGGAGGCGGCAGCCGGCTCCCTGCAGCACCGCAGCCCCCCGGGTCCGGCCCCTCTCGCACCCCGCAGCATCCCCGGGGGCCGAAGCCGGGGCAGAGCCCGGTGGGGGGGCAGAGGGAGGAGGCTCCGGACTCCCCCCCCCCCCCTCCTCCTCGGGGGACCCTGGACCTGAGCGCTCACGACCGAGGAGTCCCCAAAGCATGGGGGCAGGTTCCCGGCCGCCGGCGCCCACCTTACCTGGAAGTGGCCCCGCACGTACTTGGCCATGGGGTACTCGTTGATGTCGAGCGGGAGCGTGAGCTGCGAGTCGGGCTGCAGCGCCGGCGGCGGCACCAGCACCACGCAGCCGGCGTTCACCTCCCGGGCGGCTGCGGCACAGCGGGCAGATGCGGCACCGCCATAGGGATGGATGCATGGGGGTAAGGGGCTGGGAGCGGTGCCGGCCGCCCCGCAGGACGCGCTCACCTGCGGCGGCCTCCAGCAGCCCCATGAGCTCGGCAGGGATCTCCAGGTGGGTGACGTCCACCACCTCCCTCTTGGTCAGCTCCTGCAGGGAGCAGCGGGCCAGTACCCATGGGTGCCTCAGCATTGGGATGGGCGAGCACATGGTAGGGATGGGAGCAACACGGGGTGCAGAGCATCGCACATGTGCTTCCCGCAGTGCTGCGCAGCCGTTACCTGCTTCATCCTTTCCTTCTCCTCCTCTGCCCGCCGGCGGGCATCCTCCTTCTTCTGCAAGCAGAGCACCCACGTTGAGCCCGTGCCATGAGGGAGGCCAAGAGGCAGCCTTTTATCCCCTGGCATCACCAGGCTTCCGTGCCAAAGAGCACCATGGCGCAGGGAGGAGATGGTGGGGATGGGGTCTGTGGGGCTCAGGGTCTCCAGACCCAACACCGAACACGCAGCAGGGAGGAAAAGGGTGCTCAGGACCCCCTTATGGCTGTTCCATCCCCACCCTCACCTTGAGGTACCGCCGGCGGTTCACATAGATGTGCACCAGCGACCTGAACTTGATGAGCGTGCGCCGCATGCGCCGGTAGCGCTGCCTGCCATGGGGAGAGCACCCGTCACCCTCCGCCACCCATCAGAGCCCACCCACCACCTCCAGGCACCCCAACCTGGCCAGGTATCCCCTCGCCCGGCTCTGCAGGAGGATGATCTTCCTGCGGAGGGAGCGGAAGCGCCTCTTGATGAAGAAGGTGCGAGCGTAGCGCTGGAGGGTGAGCGCGGCCAAGTGATGGGCACGAGAGCGCTTGCTCTCCAGGGCCTGGTACAGCTGCTCCTTTAGGAAGAGCTGGGAAAGGGGGTGATGCTGTGAGACCCACACCTCGGCTGTCGTTCCCAAGGGCATCACCGGAGCGAACCCCCCTGCCCGGGACAAGCACCTTGGTGACACCGACGTAGTACATGCTGGGGCTGACGGGGCAGAGGCTCCTCAGCATCTCCACGCAGTTGGAGCCGTTGGGAATGACGTTGGACCACATGTCAACGAGGCAGCGGTACCTGGGCAAGCAGTGACACCATCACCACACCGGATCCCACCACCTGTGTGATGGTCGCCATGGCTACGAGGATGCTGAAAAGGGACTCTTCATCAGGGATTGTAGTGACAGGACAAGGGGGAATGGGTTTAAACTGAAACATGGGGGAGATGAGATTACATCTAAGGAAGAAACTCTTTACTATGAGAGTGATGAGGCACTGGAATGGGTTGCCCAAAGAAGCTGTGGCTGCCCCATCCCTGGCAGTGTTCAAGGCCAGGTTGGACACAGGGGCTTGGAGCAAGCTGCTCCAGTGGAAGGGGTCCCTGCTTGGAGCTGGAGGAGCTTTAAGGTCCCCTCAACCCAAACCATTCTATTCTTTTTTGACTCTATACCTAGAAAGCTTCTCCTGTTGCTGTGGACCAAAGCAGGGGGGGCTCCCAGCTCCCACCAAAGGGTCCCTCCAAACACCCACAAATTCCGTGCTCTACCCTCACCAGGATGCTGGTACCCAACCCACCTATTGATGAAGACGAGGAAAGGGATGCGGATGGGGAAGCCCTCCTTGCGGATGCGGATGGTCTCCAGGATCCCTGAGTACCGCAGCTGGCTGCTGACCACGTCAGCCTCAAAGAGCCCTGGTTCCTGGGGAGGAGATGGGGAGAAGCTTTAGTGGCCATTAGGGAAACCCCTGTGTGCCCAGCACAGCGTTGGCATCACCATGGGTAGGAGATCCCAGAACGAGCTCTCACCTTCTTGTTGTTGGGTTTGAGACAGCGCACAAAGAAGGGGTTGCACCTGCATTAAAGAGACCGCATTGGCCATGGGGAACAGGGGACCAAGCCAGCCTGGCCACCTCGGGCTTGGTCCATGGTGAGCCTGCTCCCACCATCCCGGTGCTCCTGCCTGTCCTGACCTCTCCATCTTTTCCACCAGCTCCAGGAGCGACTGCTGGAACCGGGCGGCCACAGTGGGAGCCTTGTACCGCCGGGTCCTGGTGCTGCTCCTCCTGATGAGGCTCCTCTGCCGCGCCATCACCTGGGCATGGCCGAAGAAGAGGTTGGCCACCACCTTGGGGAGATGGGAAGGGTTAGGGAGGAGGAAGGGGGATGGATGGAGCAGCAATCCCAGCTCCTCTTCCCAACCCAACCACCGCCTTTTTGTCCAGCCACATCCCTTATTCACAGTCTGATTCCCTCAATAGGGATGGGGAAGCACAAGAGCAGCCCCTGTGCCCCCCTTTGTGCCAATGCTTGAGGGATCAAAGCCCAGAGGACCCCACAGGAAGAGGGCACAGGAGGCATCTTCTGCTTCTGGTCCCCCTGGGCTTCACCAGCCATGGGGGCACATGCTTGGGGACATGAAGGGTGGTGTGTATGGAAGGGGGTCACCCATGCCTGCTGTGTCCCCAGGACCAGGGGTTAGCAGGGCCCTACCTTGGTCCTGCTGCTGAGGAACAGGTCCAGCACATCCTGACGGACCTGGTCATAGTTCTTATCCAAAAACTTGTGGACCTGGCAAAGAGCGAAACCTCACAGGAACAAGGAGATGCAGGCCAGGATGTGCCCCTATAGATGGACCCCCTGAGCTGCCCCAACCCCATAAACCTCCTCTTTAACCCTCCTTAAGACCCCAGCTAAGCATCCCACCACCCCATACCTGGTAGGTCACCTTCCCTGCGTAGTGCTTGATGGTGAACTCGGGCAGTGGCATCTTCGGCTTGGTGTACAGCGGGTTCGTCCCATGGTGGTAGTGACACTTCTGGAGGAACGTGTGGTCGGTGGCCTGGGGATGGACGCAGGGGTGAGGCACGGATCGGGTCATTCAGCAGCCCTCGGGATGTAGGCATCAGGATGGGGATGCCAGCATCACGATGGGGATGCCAGCATCATGATGGGGATGCCAGCATCACGATGGGAATGCCAGCATCATTATGGGGATGCCAGCATCACGATGGGGATGTCAGCATCACTATGGGGATGCCAGCATCACGATGGGGATGCCAGCATCACGATGGGGATGTCAGCATCACGATGGGGATGCCTGGACCAGATCTCAGCTCTGCCACTGGTCATGGGCATCTGCTCCTCTGTGCCTCAGCTTCCCCATCAGAGACCCCACAACCTCATATAGGGCAGGGTGCTCAGTAATGCCTGCAAAAGCAAGTCCTCTGGGGGAAGTTGCTCCAATGGCACCAACCTAGGACCTCTTGGGGCTTGTTTCCAGCCTGGAAACACCCATGAATGGAGCCTACATAGGGTATAGTGATTCCCAACCACGGTGCCCACCCGGTGCTGCCATCCTCACCTGGGGGAAGCAGCTCTGGTCATCCAGGATGCGCAGGATTCCATAGGGCTTCTGGGAGATGAGGTCGATGCAGGGCTGGTTGTCACTGAAGGGGATCTCCTTCCACTCAATCTGCTCCCGCAGGTACTCCTCCTATGGGGCCGGCACTCGGTCAGCCCCATGGCGATGCTGGGCATGGGGCAGAGCCCTGCACAGCTCCCTGGGCCCAAACCTGCTCCTCCTGGAACACAATCTTGTTGAAGAAGAACTGCAGGTACTCGTTGGCGTAGTTGATGCAGAGCTGCTCAAAGCTGTTGAAGTTGAGATCCTGCAAGAAGGAAGATCCATGGAGCCTGAGATCCTGCAGCACCGGGGCTGGTGGCTGGGTGGGATGGAGCTGGGATGGATCCTGCTCACCTCAAAGCCGTAGATGTCCAGGATGGCGATGGAGAGGGCCTCCTGCCGCGGGTACACCAGCCTGTTGATGCGGTCTGTGAGCCAGCCGAAGAGCAGGGAGTAGAGGGTCTTGGCAATGGCATCCCTGGATGGGGAGGATGAACTGGAGCTCCAGCATGGCATACACCACCACCATGGGAGCCAGCACCCATCAGAGCCCAGAACATCCCTCAGGGCTGCTGTTTTACTCACCTAGAGCCTAATCCCCACTGGGAGACTTGGCCACCCCTTTCCCATCCCTGCATTCCACCTCCTGCCCCATCCCTAGGGACCCCCTTCCCCTTTACCTGGCATCCACGGCGCTTTCAACAGTCAGAGGGGTGAAAATCTTCTCCCGCAGCGTCTCCTGGTTGGGGTGCACAAACCCAAGGGCACGATGGAGCTTCGGCATCACAACCCATGGTCCCCAAGGCCCCCATTCCCTGCCTGCATCCCCCCCTGCACTCACCGTCACCTTGAAGGTGATGGCTTTCTGCAGGCCCTCGGGGGACACCTGCAGCAGCTCAGCCACCGTCCGGATCTCCGCGGCACTCACCACCATGGCCACCTCCTGGCAGTCACTCTATGGGATGCAGGGAGGTGATGGGATGCTGAGGACCCCCACCACCACATCCCGAATCAAGGAGCAGGGCTCAGCTCTCCCTTTGGGTACCTCGTATTTGTCAAAGTAGACGTTGCCCAAGTGGAGGACGGAGGAGAGGATGCGGAAGATGCTGTTCTGCTCCTCCACGCTGAAGCTCAGCGCTTCCATGGTGTTGAGCAGGCGATGGAAATCCTCCTCATCGTTCTTCCCGGGAATCTCACAGTTCCCTCCCTGGAATTGCCCCATCCATGCCATCAATGGATGCAATGAGGGGGGGGGTTGGCAGCACCTAGCAGTGGAGGGGGGCACCCTCCCCATCCGCACGTTGAATCCAGGAACCCCCCAGCACCCCAAAAGCAAGGTGCCATGGGGCTGTTTGGGGTCACCCTACCTGGTTCAGGTAGTAGTATGTCTCGGCGCCCTGCAGGCAGTACCGCTGCCGCTGCTGCGCGGGCAGCCCTGCCAGCATCTCATAGAAGATGTGGTAATTGCGCTCACTCTTGGCCTGGGATGCAGAGGATCGGGGTGGGATGGGGTCCATGGGGAGCGCAGGGATGGGGGGGGCAGAGCCTCACACCCACCTGGAAGACCACACGGGACTTCTCCAGCAGGTACTGCGAGGTTATGGCACCGCAGATCAAACCGCTACAGGGGAAAGAGCAGGCACCTGGCTGCAGCCTCAGCATGGGCAGGGGCTCTGTCCCCATCCCAGTGCCCATCCGGATGCTCCCAGGGGGTTGGTTCTGGTTCCCGGATACCCCCAAAAGGGATGGGTGCGCAGAGTAAGGCTCCCTGCATCCAGCTGCCAAGCTAGGGCTGGAGATGCTGCACCTCAGGGTGACACTGAGCATCCCTCAGTGGGATCAATGGGGATGAGCAAGGATAAGAATGGGAGACATCATAGGGATGAAGAGTGGCCACAGTGCCAGCCCAGGGCACAGCATCCCTACCCTAAGGACAGTGAACACTGCCTGTCTTTAGGCACCATTACCTTATCCCTACCATTTATCCCCAGAAGCATCCCTGTGTGCATCCTATCCCAGCGCCAAGGCACTGCGGGGCTGGGGGCCGGGTTGGGCACCCACAGAGGGGACCCACCAGAGGCAGGAGCTGCTCAGCACTCATCGTTACTTACTCCTCCAGGAAGATCTCCACAAACTTCCCAAACCGGCTGGAATTATCGTTCCTCACGGTTTTGGCATTGCCAAAGGACTCCAGCAAGGGGGTCGCCTCCAGGATCTGCAATGGGGAGAGATGGGGGTCAACCCATGCCCCATGCAGACACCCTAATTCAAGGTGTGCACTGAGACCAGGTTGCAAGAGGATGCAGGAGAGCACAAGAACTCCATGTATACGCATGGACCACGCTCCCACATCCATCCCAGCATCCATCCCGCATCCATGGTGATGCGGCCACCACGATGCTCAATCCCCTTGAGCCACCCTATCCCATGTGTCCCTTCCGGTACCTCTATCTGCCGTGGTCCAAGTGGAAGCAAAGGATAAGGAGGGAGAAGCAGAGCCATGAGCAGGGGATGGAGGAGAGGGCAGGGAGGGGGGACAAGGGGATGGGGACAGGGAGGTACCTGTGGGGCAGTGCTGCGCTTCTGGCTGACGGCTGCCAGGTACCGCAGGATCAGTTTGGTGGCTTCAGTCTTTCCTGAGCCACTCTCCCCACTGAAACACAGAGAAGGGGACATGGCCGGGGCCATCACCAACCAAAGAGGGGGTTAAAGGGGTCTCCAGACCCCAAACCCGCCCAGCACCCCAATCCCTATAGGGGATGCTGCAAGGATGGGCTGGTGGCAGCATCCTGCATCCAGCAATTAGGGCAGCACTGATTAGGGAGGGCCGTGCGTGGGGACGGCTGTGTCTGACCTGATGACGATACACTGGTTGTGATTGGCATCCATCACTTTGTAGTAGGCGACGTTTGCGATGGCAAAGAGGTGCCTGGAGTGTGGAGAAGCAGAACTGGGGGGGACTGGTGCCACATTGCCCCAGTACAGGGACCTCAATGCACCCTGAGCATCCCCATTCACAGACAGCACCCTGACATGAGGGTCCTAGGGGACCTGGGACCACTGAGGCTGCCATAGGGCCAAGGGGAGGGTAACAATGGGTAGAAATGCCCCTGACCCCACATTGTTGGGGACACCCCAATACTCACGGTGGGTTCTCGCCCAGGGCTCTGCCTTCATACTGCAGGACCTGATCTGTGCCATAGATGTCATAGAGCCGGTACGGGTTCACCGACACCAGGATGCTGCCGATGTAGGTCTGTGGAGAGCCAGGTTTGGGTGCTGACCCCCTCAAACACCCCACACCTGGGGGCCTCATGGGATGCTGTGCACCCCTAAGCTTACATAGATGAGCTGGCGCTCGAACCGTGTCCGGATGTTGCTCAGCACCGCAGCCTCCTGGAGGTCCCTGCATGGAGCAGAGGCTGTGTTAGGGGATGGCAGGAGGTGTCCACTGACCCCAAGCCTGTCCCCTGCATCCCCAGGAGGATGGAGCAGAACCTGTGTTGGGATGGGATGGGATGGGAGCAGTGGGGGCTGTAAGTGCATGGATGGGGGACAAGGGACACTCACTCCAGCTGGGTCATGTCCTCCAGCCCGTCCTCCTCCTGTGGCTCCTGGTACCGCATGATGGGCAGGCTGCACAGCGACTGCATCTGCATGGAGCAACCCCGTGCCATCACTATAGGGCTGTGCCAACCCCTTCCAATGTCCTATCTGGCCACCACCACCCCAAACCTACCATCTATGACCCCAGAATGGGGACCCCCACAGCCAGTGATGGCAAGGACCCCAAGCAAGCATCTCACACCCCCAAAACAGGTCCCCCAGCAAGAGTGTGGTGCATTAGGGGATAGCAGCAGCACTGGAAATGGGGACATGAGGCCACCAAAGCATCCTTGGGGACTGATCTAGGTGGCACGTCCAGGAGAGATGATGGAAGGGGGCTGTGATGGGGGCCAAGCCGTGGGGCTGGGAGCTGCTCCCCATGCCTGTGCCCCACACAGAGGTGACACAGGGTGGGGGGCACCAGGAACCCGCACTGGCTGCCATCCAGGGCAGGCAGGAAAGCAGACACCAGCCGGGTCAGAGCACAGGGATCAGATCTCAGCATTTCCATACACAAGAGTCAAGTGTCCCCAATGGGGCCGTGCGGGGGGGGAACGACACGCAATGGGCAACAACAACCTCCATCCACCTTGCTCCCTATGGCAGGACCCCCCCCCCAGCGTCATTCACCTCCCACCCTGGGTGCTGCAACCCCCTTGGCTCTAATGGCTTCACACACCATGGAGCCAACAACCACAATACACCACTCATCCCGGTCCCTCCGACTGCCGGCTCATCCCATTGCTCCTTCCCATCACCAGCACCACATTGTGCTCCCCACATCCCAGTCCCTGGTGCTACCGCCTCATCCCCTTGCTCCATCCCATCACCAGCACCGCAGTGGGCTCCCCCCATCCCAGTCCCTGGTGCTACCGCCTCATCCCCTTGCTCCATCCCATCACCAGCACCACGTTGTGCTCCCCACATCCCGGTCCTTGGAGCTAGTACCTCATCCCTTTGCTCCATCCCATCACCAGCACCGCATTGGGCTCCCCCCATCCCGGTCCCTGGTGCTACCGCCTCATCCCACAGCTCCATCCCATCACTGGCATCGCTTTGCTTTCCCCCATCCCGGTCCTTGGAGCTACCACCTTATCCCTTTGCTCCATCCCATCACCGGCACCGAGTTGCTTTCCCCCATCCCGGTCCTTGGAGCTACCACCTCATCCCTTTGCTCCATCCCATCACTGGCACTGCATTGGGCTCCCCCCATCCCGGTCCCTGGTGCTACCGCCTCATCCCACAGCTCCATCCCATCACCGGCACCACGTTGCTTTCCCCCATCCCGGTCCTTGGAGCTACCACCTTATCCCTTTGCTCCATCCCATCACCGACACCGCGTTGCTTTCCCCCATCCCGGTCCGTGGTGCTACCGCCTCATCCCACAGCTCCATCCCAACACCGGCACCGCGCTGCGCTCCCGTCGGCGTTACCTTGCTGCGCCAGGGCTGCTTGCTGCCCAGGTACCCGTCCGCCCAGGGGTGCCGGTCCCTCCAGCCGCCCCCCGGCGAGCGCTGGCTCAGGTACCGGCCGATGTCGGCTCCTCGCTGGCTCGCCCACCGCCGGCCGCGCTGGGAGGGCAGCTGGGGGGGGCCCTGCTCTGCCGTCCAGGCGTCGGGCATCTCCCGCACCCGCACGACGTGCTGCGCGGACCAGTGCTGCTTGTACATGCGGGACGCCCGTCGGAAGGAGCCCAACCTCTGCACCTGCGGCGTCACCACCGCGTAGCGCCCCGCGCCCTCCTCCCCGGACAAAACATCCCCATCGGCGGCCTCCGGGCCAAGGGGACCACGGCGGGGGGTGACCGGGGAGCCGGGGGCTCTGCCGTGGGGTGATGGGAAAGAGGCGTGACGCTGCGGTGAGGGGCTGCGGTCCCCGCGAGGCACGGACGGGACCATGGGGCGCCCGGTGTCGGTCCAGCCCCGGCGCCCCGGGGAGGGGGGGCTCGGTGATCTATGGGTGCTCCCGTCCCGCCGGGATGGGCGCTGGGGAGAGGAGGGTGAGCGGGAGGAAAGGCGGCGGGCGGGCGGTGGGGATGGGGGGGCTGCAGAAGGGGCCATGCTCCTCACGAGCAGCGATGCCAGGGATTGCCCCATGGAGCGTATTGGGCTGCTCGGTTCGGCAGGGGACGGCCGGGCCGGGGGGGAGCGCGGGGCCATGCCGGCAAGGGGCTGCCCGATGCGCTGGATGAAGGTTTTGGGGGTACCAGGAGCGGGGCTGGGTGGCGGGGGCGCCCCAACAGCAGCGCCCTGCCAGGGGGGCAGCTCCGCGTCCCAAGAGGGGCCGAGGCGGCGGCTGCCGGGCCGGGAGGTCGGTGCCATGAAGGGGGATCTCTGCAGCGGCTTCACAGCCTTGGTGGGGGGCTCGGGGAGCCGGGGCCAGGCCTGGGGCAGCGGCAGCCCGGGGGGGCTGCTCTGCCGGAAGGACCGGGATCTCCCCGGCCCAGCCGCGGGCACCCCCAAACGCCTCCCCCCGGGGCCCGGGGAGCGGGGCGCGGATGGCGGCGGGGCCGGGGGCTCGGGGCCGAACCGGCGGATGCTGGCCCCGAGGGAAGGGGAGCGCCGAGGGGGCTCGGGGCGCTGCCGGGCCGGGGGCGGCGATGGGGAGCGCCCCGCGCTGGCGAAGGGGTTACGGAGGGACGGGAGCCGGAGCGGGCCCCAGGACCCCGCTGGTGGGGAAGGGTCCCTGGGTGGGGAAGAGGGGTCCCGGGTCCCCATCGCGGCGCTTTCCATCCTGCGGCCAGAGCGCCTATAGGAGGGCTGTGGGGCGCGGGGGTCCCGGGGTCCCATTGCAGCCCGCGGAGGGCGGCTGGGGGGCTGCGAGAGGGAGCGCTGCAGGAACTGCCCCAAGGGGCTCCCGCACGCCCGCGCTGCAGCAAGGAGGCGGCCCCGGGGGGGTGCTGCTGGTGCTGGAGGCTCGTACTCATCGTAGTCATCGTCATCACGGGCCGGGGGGAGATGGGGGGACGGCGGGAGGGGGACATCGAGGCGGTCCCTGCCGAAAAGCTTCACCTGAGGCCGGGGGAAGAGCCGGAACTTCCGATTGAGGGAGAGCTTGGAGGAGAGCGTCTCCCGCATGCCCCGCAGCGAGGAGGCGCTGAGGATGGAGAAGGGGTACTCCTTGTCCTCCTCCTCCTCTTCATCCCACTCCTCAGGCTCCCCGGCCTCCGCGATCTCCTCCAGGCCCAGGGCATAGGGGTTGCAGGACTGGGCATGCGGTGCCCACCCCCCCTCGCTGTACTGGATGCGGTGCTCAGGGTACTCGCCCCCAGGGTAACCCCCCGAGAGGGGGTCCCCGAAGTCCTCGTAGGGGTCCCCCCTGTAGCCAAAAGGCCCCACCGTGTCCTCGCCGTACTCCTGGTCGCTGCCGTAGGGGTCGTAGAGGGCGAGGGGGGACCCGCCACCAAACGGTCCCTCGTCCCCCAGCTCCGCGTAGCCATAGGGGGGTCCCTGGGGGTCTCCCTCCTCCCAGCCCCCCCCATAGAAGCCATAATCCTGCTCTGCCTCATAGCCAGGGTAGTCAGAGTAGGGGCTCGGCCCCGCGTCCTCATAGCCGTATGCTGCAGGGTAGGCTGGGGCTTGGGTATAGCCTTCCTCCTCCTCAGTGTAGCCACGCCGAGGGCCGTAGCCTCCATCCTCCTCCTCACTGTAGCTACGCCACGGGCCGTAGTCTCCATCCTCCTCAGCGTAGCCGCGCTGAGGACCATAGGCTCCATCCTCCTCCTTGCTGTACCCACGCCAGCGGCCATAGGCTCCATCTTCCTTCTTGGCATAGCCCCGGCGGGATCCATACGCTCCATCCTCCTCCTTGCTGTACCCACGCCGGTGCCTGTAAGCTCCATCCTCCTCCTCAGCCCACCCATAACGCGGCACCGACGCCTTGGTGGATGCGCGCTGCGAACGCCGCCGCGATGGCCTCCGCGCCATGCTGCCGTGCCGCGACACCCTGCCACCACCACCACCACCACCGCCACCACCACCGGGGATGCGCTTCATGTTGGCCCGGTGCCGGAGGATCTCGTCTTCCGCAGGGAACGGCAGCTTCTTGGCACCGATCCGGGACAACCAGGCCGTGTCGGTGGCTCGGCTGCCCCCCACCAGCCTCCCGCGCCGGCTCAGCACCTTCCGTGCCAACCAGCCCGTGGCGGCGGCCGCCTTGCTCAGCACCTGTGCCCGCGGCTTGAATTTCCTCTCCGGGCGCCGGCGGAAGAGGGATGCTCCGTCCTCGGCACCGGCCACGCCGCGCCGCAGCAGCAGGAAGGACGGCTTGCCCGGCGGCGGCGCATTGCCGGATGCTGCGTCCTTCCTCTTCTTGCCCACGCGCTTGAAGCGCACCATGAGGTTGGAGGTGGATTTGAGCACCGCTTTGTTCTTCTTCTTCCTCCTCCTGTGGGTGCTGCGCTTGTGCAGCCCCCAGAAGAAGCGCGACGTGTTCTTGAACTGAGCCTTCTTGGCACGGCGCAACCCCAGCTTCTGCAGGCCCAGGAACAGCTTGGAGGTGCTGCGGAGGCTCCGCTTCGCCCGGGCCTTCGGTGCCGCCGCCGCTGCCCCCTCTTCCTCAATGGGGCTGGGCTCCACGAGTGCTTTGGTCTCTGCACCCCCTTTGGCTCCTTTCTTCTTCTTGCCGGTGACGGCTGACAGCCCCATCAACAGCTTGGAGGTGCCCTTCAGGTTCTTCTTGGTGAGCGCCGCATCGCTCTTGCTCTCCCCTTCCTCCGCCTCCAGCTGCACCTTCTTCCCCCGGCCTGGCTTCTTCCCCACCACCCCCTTGAGCACCCCCTTCTTCTCCTTCCCCTTCCCCTTCTTGGGCTCCTCCACAACCTCCTCCTCTTCATCCTTCTCCTTCTCCTCCACCACCGCCTCCGTCTCCTCGCTCTCCTCCTCCTTCAGCAGCTCCGCATCCGACGTCTCCTCCGACTCGTCGGGCGCCTCCTTCTTGCCTTTCTTCCCATCCTTCCCTTTCCCTTTCCCCCCTTTCCCTTTGGCTTCCGCATCCTTTTTGGGCTCCCCCTTCTTCCCGGCCATCCCGCCGGCTGCGGATGCTCATGCTCCAGCCCCTGCGGGGCGCTGGGAGGCGATGCCCAGCTCCGGCCCGAGGCAGCTCCCGTCACCCGCAATTACCTGCACCCGGTGCCGATGAGGCCCATGCCCACGCGTGGCTCCCTTGGCTGCCGGCAGCCCCCCTCTTGGCATGGTGCTGGAGGGGAAGGGGGGGGGCAGCACCGGTGCAGCCCCCGGTGCGAGCTGCCTCCTGCCTCCCCACGAGCTGGGCTCTGGCTGTAACCCAAGTGACGCGGCTCGTGGTGGTGGCATCAATAATGTAAGGGATGCGCTGCTCCAGCCACCACAGCTTTCCAATGCAGCAGGGAAGGGCCCCCCGCTGCTGGGAGCATCCCCACAATGGGATACTGCAGTGTCACCAGCCCCATAACACACACACACCTCCATGCTCCCTGTGCTCTCCACTGGGGAATCCATCTCTTCCCCCACGCAGCACAAAGGAGGATGAAGCCCAAGGATGCTTTTGACCCCATAAAGCCAAAACACAGCAATGAGAAAGAGGAGACCAGAGCCCAAAGCACGCGTTGGCACCGGCACCATGAGCATGGCCAAAGGGAGCGATGCCCAGGGGAATCCCAACACCAGACATCCCACGCAGCCCCAATGGGAAGCAGAGAGGGTATCCCCCACACCGTGCCATGCATGTTACATGTATGTGTACGTGCATGCACAGGGTGCCACCCGTGTGCACACATAACCGGTGGGGGGGTTTGTGTGTGCCACGTGTGCTTGCTCCCAACACGCACCCAGGAGCAGGGGGACCACATCAAATGTTAATGCCCATGCTGCAGGCTCATCAAAGATTAAGCAGCAGCAGTGATGGGAGCCTGTGGCAACGCCAGCACCGCTCCATGGACTCATAGGGGTGTGTGGGGAGAGGCAGCAGCATCAGCAGCATCAGCATCCAGCTGTGCCACAGCTGGCAGGACCGAGAACCAGCTGCTGGACCAAACTCATTGGCTTCCAATGGGCTCTGCCCCACGGCACTGTCTCATCCCCCAGCCACCATCTGGCCTCCTCCTTCATGCACACAGGGGCTACATTCCATATCGGAGCCCCCCCAGCTCCATGGGCACAGTGTTCACCCACCTTGGGCAGCACAGAGCAGGGGAAGGGGCATTTGTGCCCAGGCACAGAGGGATGCGGTGTGGGATGGAGGGGGAACCCACAGCCATGAACACCAAACCGTGGGGCATCCACATGTGGTGGCTGCTCCCAGGGTGTCTGGGCATGGCCACATCCAGCAGCAGGACAAGGGAGGGAGCCTGGGTGCAAATGGCAGTGGGGACCAGGGGAAGGATGCTCAGAGCATCCTCTGACCCCATCACCCCTGAACGGCTCCAGACACATGGCTGAGATAGGGAAAACCACCTCATCCCAGGGACATGGCCCTGGCTGGGTGCAGGAAGGAGATGGAGCCTTTGCTGACCCCGATCCTGCTTTGCCCACCCCGGCCCAGCACAGCGGGATTGGACCTTTGGAGCACTGGCACACATTGCCCCAGGGGCAGTGGAACCCTGTGCCACCACACTGTGCCATGCCAACCCATCACTGCTCATCCACAGGAGAGCTTCCCACGCGAGCTGCTCCACATCAACATCTCCCATCACATCCCACATTCCCCTTCTGCATCGCTGTGCATCCACTTCCAAACACCCATGTGCAGCCCTGGTACAGCTCTCTCTGCTCCAGCCATGAGCCACAGGGATGCTGGGAGCACATGGACAGGCTGGATGCTTCCAGTAATGGGGAATGTGGCAGCAGCACAGCCCTGCAAGCCTCCATGACACCATGGGGGTCTCTCCTTGCTGCCCTGAGCACCCATCACACCCCTGAACTGGCTCATTCCCATCCCCTCCAGCTCCTTGCTCCAAATTGAGGATGGGGACCCAGCACATCGCATCCCTGCCCACTGGATGCTGCCCGGTGGCAAGTGCTGCCACAAGGGAGGTGCTATGGGGAGGAGAGAGGATGGAGCAAATACCAGGCATGAGGCATCCCTGGCATGCACTCAGGAATGCTGCCTGGCAGCTCCAGAGCCAGGTCACAGCCTTGTGCCATCACCTCAGCCCCAGATCCAAGCACAGAGTCCCACAAGGCTTGGCTATGGTGCGGGGCAGCTTTCCCAGGGCAAACCAGCCCCGAGACACAGGGAATTTGGGGGAAAGATGGTTGGAGACACGGAGCGAAGGGCAGCAGGATGCTGCTGGGAGAGGCAAAAGGTGGGATACGGAGGGATAAAGGCAATGAGCACAGAGATGAGGGGATCCGAGCCCCACAGCGCTGCATTCACAGGACCAACATCACACACAAAGGCGGAGGAACGGCAGGACCTGGGATGCCAAGGGCGGCATCACCCCACAGGGGACCCGCAGGCACTCACCTGGGGCAGCCTAAGGCACCCGCATGGCGCTGGTCGTGCTCTTGGCTTCGCTCCCCATCAGGGACCGTGGCTCCGCGGCTGCCGCAGGACCACGCTTGCTGCAGGCGCTGACACCCAATGCATATTTGATGAGCGCTATTGTTCACAGCTCCATCCGTGAGCGCAGGGACCGGAGCTGATCTTCCCTCGGCAGGGCCGGGAGCAGCAGCTCTGGTCCTCCTGTGGTCCCATCCACCTCTTCCTGCTACCAGTGACAGCCCCCAAACCCCTTCCCTCCGGGGGTAGATCTGTGCCACCTCTGCCATTGAGCCCAGATGGGAACAAACGGCCCCAGAGCAGCGTGAGTTTAGGAGAAGGCATCATAGGGATGGACACACACACACACACCCTTCACATCCTTCTCCATAGTGAAGGGATTTGGACACCCATCATCCCCACAGCACCATCGGGGTGAGCAGGGCGTCTCTACCTGCTTCACAAAGCATCCCAGTGCCTCAAAGCTCTGACACCAGCTCCCTGCATCACACCAAACTGGAAACCATATTCCAGCAGCGAAAAGAGCCCTTTCTCCTTCTCCAAAGGCAGGGAGCGCATCCTGCTGCAGGCTCCCTCCTCCTCCACATCCCTGCTGGAATGCGGTGGGTATTTATTATGCTGATTCCTCAGAAAGCGAGGCCTTAACTGCAAATTACAATCAATAGCCCCAATCCCCACGGGGCAGCTCCATCACTGAGCAGGCTGCAACCAGAGGAATTCAAACCTATTTGCCAGCCATAAATCCTCCTCTCGGCAGCCTCCCGATGGCTGCTCGGGGTGACCCTTGTCAGCATCTGAAACAATTAAGCTGTCACTGCGGAGCGTGCCTCTTATCTACAGCCCTGAGCAGCACTTGAGGATGGCAGCGGTGATGGGGCCGAGGCGAGCCCGCCCGCACTAAGTGTCTCTCATTGAATTAAATGAATGGATTTGGAGGCAGAGGCTCTTTTTATTACCTTGCAAAGCGATTCCTGACTAAATTACGCTCTAAAAGGGAGCGTTCAGCCAATCCAAGCTGCTCGATTGCCTGGAACAGGCGCTCGAAACAGAGCACGCCTCGGGCCGGCGCTGATGCCGGGGTAGATGGAGGGGGGCTGATGGGCTGTGTCGAAACCGATTCGCCCTGCTTCCCACCTGGAGCGATGCCCAGCGGGGATGGAAGGGGTGCTCCAGCAACAGGGCAGGGTCCATGCAGGAACTGAGGAAAGCGGAGTAAAGAGCAGGGAATGGTTAAGCGCAGGTTGCTCTATGGGGTGATGCTCTACGAGCATCACCCAAGGCCATACAGCAGGGAAAAGGCAGATGATGCTCTATGGGGGCAAACTTAAACAGGAAGATTTAGGTTGGGTATAAGGCATAAAGTCTTCCCTGTGAGGGTGTTGAGGCGCTGGCACAGGGTGCCCAGAGGAGCTGTGGCTGCCCCATCCCTGGCAGTGTTCAAGGCCAGGTTGGACACAGGGGCTTGGAGCAAGCTGCTCCAGTGGAAGGTGTCCCTGCCCATGGCAGGGGTTGGAGCTGGATGGGCTTTAAGGTCCCTTCCAACCCAACCCATTCTATTCTACCCAACCACCCCGCATCCTCCCACCAGAACCTTTCTCCAAACCCACTCAGCAAGGATGCTCCGAGCATCCCTCAAAGCTAGAGAAGGGTCCAGCCAATCCCATAAACCTCAGGAGGCTCCAGAACAATCCTAATGCTGCAGATGGCCCCCCTTGCCCTTTGGATCTTGCTTTCTGAGGATGCAGAGGCATCATGAGCCAAACCTGCACCCGACTGCAATGCTGGCAGCTGCTAACGTCAGTGCAGACCAATTAGGGAAGCCGTCTGGAAAAGTGAAGGCTGCAATTAAATGTGCCTT